GTTTTTTTTTTTTTTTTTTTCTGGCAGCGAAAAATGGGTTAGGTCTACTTCTGACCATGACTCTGCAGTCCATCAACAACAAGTGCCTTGTCGGCTGGCTTACATCCTTCTTCAGCAATGTTAAGGAGTCACTACACCAAAAAAAAATAATTTTTTTATTTACAGAGTTAGAGCAGTTATTTTATAATGGTCATTTGTAGGGATACATGTTATTACATTTGTATACTTTAAGTGTTAAAAAAATCATAGTTGTCATGGCAATAGCTGCCATCTTGTGAAAAAAACATTATGTTTTTAGGATCCTAAAATTTTAAAAACAAACAGAGATATTCAACAATAGATGATGGATTCATGATTTTTCATCCTATTTACAGGTACAGGTCTAGTTTATTTACTTTAAACGTGTTTTGAAATATTTTTTGTAGAATTTTAAAATGTAGGTTTATTGAAAAAGTCAAAAAAATCTAGCATCATCAGACAATAATCAAATTTTATAAAACAAAAACTTTCTAAAATTTACTTTTAGACAAACCAGTCCCTGTAATATTGTTTAGGAAGTATGCATAAAAAATTTTGAGTTTCTACTTTTTATATTAGCTTAGAATTAAGGATTTCACACACACAGCAAACTGAAATACAGAGATTTGAGAAAACTGACTTTTAAACTTTTTTTTCTCTTAAAAAAGTGCACAAGGAGGTGTCGTTAGTATTAACTTTTCAATGCTAAATTGTTTACTAATGACATAAATTTTGTGTGTCATCTATTCTACGAATGCCGAACTTTACAAAAACGAACACATTGAAAAAGTGATATTTTTGTCATAAATTGGAAAAAATGCAGTGTAGTGACCCCTTAATGTGGCTTAATCCATTTAAAAGTTACGTGATGCTGTCGGGTAACCCAGAGAGTTCTCATCTCTCTAGCTCACACCGTGAATTTCGCATCATTTTCGGGGGGGAGTGGGTAGTGAGCATGACCTAGTTTCCTGAAAAATCATTTCCTGAGGTACCCCTGTATTTAAAAAGCGTGTACTTCTGAAAACGCATGTGTTTTAGAGTTGTGTGCAGTGTGCTAAGAGTTCTCTGTGTGTTACTTGTGTGAGAGAATGTTTGGAGATATTCAGTATATAATGAAAATTATGGTTTATCAACCTATTCACCAGCAAAGATGAGAGGGTACAACATTTGTGAGGGGACACTATATTCACGGAAGGACCCACCATTACCTGAAGGTCTAACAGTTCACAACTAACAGCAGAAGCTGCGGATTTGAAAATAATAAAGCATTCATCTTTTAAACAACAAAATATAAAATGTTAAAGCAATATACAACAAGATAGCAACACAGATTTCTTGTTTCTAAAATTAAAACACACAACAATGTTTGCATGAATACAGATCTTTTTCTGACAAAGATATACCATAATAACACAAAGCAAACTGGATTTGGCCATGTGGTTTTAAGAAAATTTGCATTTAAATTTAGATTAACAGTAAACAAAATTAATGTGAATTTTAATTTCTCATGAATGTTAAAATGATTCTAATGACTTGCAGCTTAGAATAACTTGTAACTGTTATAATGGATCTGACTGACTCGAAATGTGCATTCATGAATCTAGGACACGTGAAATTTAGATACACAAGACTATATATAAAACAGCGTTTCTAAAATTCTTGCAGGTTCGATACAAATTTTTTTTTTAGCATTATCGCGCTCTCTTCTATAATAATCTTTTACAATTACACTGATGACCAGGAAACCCCCCCCCCCCCCCCCCACCCCCTCAGAAAAACTATTTTTAAGCAACTGACATATGACGTTAGAATGCAGCAAGATCAAATACCATCACAAGCATCTAAGAAGATTAGAATGGCCGCGGAAAATATGGATCAGCAACATTCACGCCAGCGTGGACTGGATCGCAAATCATTCCTCCTCATGACACTTAATGGCCGAAGTGGTTTATGAGGATGATGATGAAGACATCTATAAACTGAAGAGCAGAGAAAACCTGATTGCTGAAATTTAATGTGAGATCAATGGAAGAATGCTGAAATTCAAAATGAAATAACTGGAAGAGTGCTGAAATTCAAAATGAGATAAATGGAAGAGCGCTGAAATTCAAAATGAGATAAATGGAAGACCACACTCAGAAGTCAGAAACCAATGAACACAGACATTAGTTCCTGGGATTTTCAACGACAGGTTAAGCCAACATGTGGCTAAATTATTAACAACAGGAACAACAATTTTTCTTTCTGGTTCTCCAACATGTGGCTAAATTATTAACAACAGGAACAACAATTTTTCTTTCTGGTTCTCCGTCTCTGTCTTCTTTCTCAGTATTAGGTTCAGAAGGTTAAATCATTAGGTTTAAAACCTAGTAAGTCCCTGCATGTGATCGCTCATCTCTTCAGGGAGGAGCTGCTGTGGCCCCATGAAGCTGCTAGAACTGAAGCAGCAATTCAGAAAAGACAAACCAGGAAAGATACTGAAGCAAATCACCAGAGAGATGCAGCCTCAATTCTATGTCTACAGTGCTCAAGAACTTTCAGTGCTTGAATTGGCCTTTTTAGCCACCTGTGCCTCACAAAATATAATCCAGTCATCACTGGATGAAAGGATTGGTCACCATCACCTGAGATGGATGAGCAATAGGTTTTGAAGGGATATCCTCTACTGTGTGCGCCTCATACAATGTGGTATCAACTCTCAGATATCCCACAATTCCACTGTTTAAGGGGGACAGGCAACCTCTTTCCCAGTGCTATCTCTCTCTTCTCAGTGTTTACTGACTGTAAACTTCAGCGGAAAGTTCTGGTTGTTCGCCCACTTCTGGACTTTGGCCTTACGCCAGAACATGAGTTTTGTGTGCACATCTGTTTTACAAATCTGGATTAACTGACCTCTGGCTCCTCACCTCTTAGTCAGAAGCACTTTAACTTTGAAAGAACCTAAGTGTTACCGTAACAAAGTTTCAGTGAGTCGCTTCTGACTCATAGAAATATATCTGTCAACCAAAGCAAATCTCATTAGAACGGGTTTTGGCCGACATTGTGCTACCAGTGGCTAACATGGACCCTTACTACGATTAACGAGCGAAAGATTGTAATAACAGAGATGAGATGTCTTAGTAGAGCTGCCGGTGTGAGAAAGAGAGATAAAATCAAGAATGAAGAAATTAGAAGACTAGGACTGAAACCAGTCATATAGTTCATTAAATAATAAATGAGATGGTTTGGCCACCTGACGAGAAAGAAAAGCCCTGGTAGCAACTGCCACAGAGCAAGGGGGAGACCAGGCAAGAGATGGAGCGACATCACCAGGAGCAACCTTAGAGAAATGAACAAAAACTTGTAAAATGTATTGGAAAAAATGCACAAACAACCCTTATCTCTCCTTCCCAACACCTGGCTGAGGTAAATTGGTAAAGTGAAGAAGAAGAAGAAGTGAAACAGCCCTTGTGATCTATATCTGATAAAGCCACTTTATTTCTTCCACCCTCCAAACCATTTATAAAAAATATATAGTTCAACACTGGTCTGAGAAATTCAACACCTGATCTGGTTTAATAAATTGATCAAACCTAACAAATGGCTACATAGGAATGTTTCTGGAAGTGGAATACTGAATTAGGAATCGATATCATAACACTCGGAACACTCACATAAGCGCTTCCTCCCCATCTTCAGCAGCAAGCAAAGAGTTCCTATTCCGATGGTACTAGTAATTGTCTGATTGTACATCCATCTGGCCTTTACCTTGAGTGTCGAGCATCGGCCAGATCCCCTGATAACTCCTCAACAATGCCATTCTCCTCAGACCGTAATGATTTGTGCCTCAGCACTGTTCACTCACTCCCAAAGGGCCCTCCCAACATCTAGCTGGTCATACATCAATTCACCACCAAGTGGTGCAGAACCGGCCAATCTATCTGCCTGCTCATTTCCCAACGCATGACCAGCAGAAAATATCCAAAGGACGCTAACTACCCGGGACCTCGAAAGCAATGCCTGCTACTCTGCATGGAAGTAAAAGAAGCAAGCAGGATTTGATAACATCGCCCACTGTACAGCGACACGTCTATAAACAATACTGCTAGGCCCAAATGCCTACACATTTTACTAGAACTGGGGGCTGCGTGGTCTTGAGGCATGGTGTTCGCCTTGAGTGCTAGAGGTTTCAGGTTCAATCTCGGGTAAGGGCTAGGATTTTTCACGCGGACTTGGACTTCTAGCAATTCCCCCTGTTCTCTGGGTAGTGAGATCAGAGCTATGGGTGCCATGTGCCATGAGGTTGATCCTTTGTTCGAAACTTCTGGTGAGGCCGATCACCCGATCATCATCATCATCGATTAGTAGGCCCCTATATATAATACTGCTTTCACGCTTGTGTGTATTGTTGTGCACATAAAAAAATCGAAAAGAGTAGCTTAACGGCACTGCCAAGGCAAAAATTTTGATTTAAAAATCCTCCATCAGCGTTCCGAGTCCGTGAGGTTCATTGCTGCAGAAATCACCTGCCTCCACTCATCTCTCTGGTTGGTCTTCTTCTTCGGCATTCCGAGTCCTTGAGGTTCATTGCTGCAGATATCACCCGCCTCCACTCATCTCTTTGGTTGGTCTTCTTCTTCAGCGTTCCAAGCCCTTGAGGTTCGTTGCTGCAGATATCACTTGCCTCCACTCATCTCTTTGGTTGGTCTTCTTCTTCAGCGTTCCAAGCCCTTGAGTTCATTGCTGCAGATATCACCCTCCTCCACTCATCTCTCTGGTTGACCTTCTTCAACTGAGTCCTTGAAACTATTATTTACACAAACAATTTCACTTTAATTATATCAAATCAACTAACTGGGAAAATAAAAAAAAACTAAACAGAAGAAAAATCAGGCAATATGAATACAATAGCGTGGAAGAAAGTGAAAGGTTTGTTTCTGAAGATTAAAATATATGACAGAGAAGTGAAAATTTTTTACTGTGAGCTAGGCGGATTAAAAAAATTAGTTCAAGTGCAATGGGGCGTCTGTTCCCCGCTTCCACATGGTGAAGTAGCCGAGATCCTCGTCCTGGATATTGCTGATGATGCGTTTGGGGTTGCGAGTTCGGGTGATAAGGATAGCCAAACTGCCAATGGTGCCGCCGACTTTAGCCAGCTCTGTCAGTTGGACATGGTGCCGTGGCCAGAGGATTTTCTCATCTAGGGTCTGTCGGAAGAGAAAGATGTGGTCTTCAGACATGCTCTAAACCACAGGCAAATGTTTCAAGTAATATGTGTGTCAAATGTTGGCAACATGTGTGTGCATGGGGCAGTGTTTATTAAACTTGTGCCTTTGGGATGCACCCACCTTTCAATCTCATTTTTTGGACAGCAAATGTTTTTGTTTTAATGCTTTAAATTTTTAAGTTACATTTTTTTTTCAACCTTAAAAACTCTAACTTTTGAGGGCTTTTTCTCTTTGTACACATATACATATAGGCGTACACATATACATATAGGCGTACACATATACATATAGGCGTACACATATACATATAGGCGTACACATATACATATAGATACCCACTAAAATCTTACTTTTTGGATACTATATTTTATTTTAAAGCAAAAAAAAAAAAATATTTTTATACAACGCTACAGAGATAATTAAAGATAAGTTCAGAAATAACAGGATCAGAAACGGCAATATCAGGAAAGAAGTTGGGGGGAGAGAGAGAGAGAGAGAGAGAGAGAGAGGGGGGGGGGAGAGAGAGAGAGAGAGAGAGGGGGGAGAGAGAGAGGGACAGAGAGAGAAAGAGAGGGAGAGAGAGAGGGAGGGAGGGGGAGAGAGAGAGAGAGGGACAGAGAGAGAGATGGGGACAGAGAGAGAGAGAGAGAGAGAGAGAGAGAGCAAGAGAGAGAGAGAGAGAGAAAGCCTGGTAACTCAAGACCTCAAGGAAGCAGAGCTAGAGGTCAACCAAGCAAATATAGACAGATGGCTGTAAATACCAACATCAAAATAGCACATAACACGGCTCTCCAAACCTGACGCTGAAAGACAGCACAGGACTTGAGAAGGGGAAGGGAAAGCACTCTCACATTCACACAGATATGGGGGTGAGGCAAGACAGACAGGGTGGGAGAGGGGCAGAGTCAATCATCACGTGGCTTGTGAAATTATTGGTGTCTGCATAGATCTCGGTCCAAGGTGTTCTGGGTCAACTGCCCCTGTGTGGGTTCCTAACAAGCATCACATAAAAGTCGACTAATTAGGAATTTGTTGAAATCAGATGTGTTGAGCCAAAAGGCATAGATACCACAGCCTTTCTGTAAACCACATTCTTGTAAGGGTGAATACAGAAGAAGAGGAGGGAGGATCAATGTTGTTAATGACATTTACCAATGCCACTGACTCAGACCAACAAACATTATCTTCCCTCTGCCACTTATACAGATGATCTTTTCAATTGCCTTAACTTTTCTGCTCATTTGATCATCATAAACCACTTTTGCCATTAAGCATCGGGGGTAGGATTTATTTGCCATGTTACAGTGTCCATGTTTGACAGTGGTGGCTTAATGCTGGAATGAATATGCTGTTTATAATCTGTCTCTTTGCACTCATAGTTATGTCTAGTAAAGGTGCCTTTGCCACGCCTTGAGGCGTATAGGGCATTTGGGCTAGACCTATATTTTTATAGACCAATCGGCACAAGATTGGTGATGTGGTCAGCATCCCGCCGGCCGCCTTTACTTCCCAGGACTGCACCCGGTACCCACTCAAGGCCATTTTTAAAAAACGTTCGGCTCTGCCAGGGAGTGAACCCACAACTTTCCGATCAGCACAGGAGCGTCTAGCCGCTATATGCCGCGGGGACTTCCCATAGTTATGTCTGGATGTCCTCAAAAAAGTTTGTCTCATTCTGCAATAATAAATACAACCACTTCAACTTGCTGAGTCTGTCCTCAAACAGACTGAAAGTACGACTGATAATAGTGGTGCATCGCTCGTACTTCTACAGACCAATCTGCCCTCGACAGGTGATGTGGTCAACATCACGCCGGCGCCTTCACTTGCCAGGACCTCACCTGGCACCCATGTAAGGCTGGGTCAACCTGAGAGCCAAGGCCATGTTTGAAAAAGATCTGGCCCTGTGCGGCTTTACCCTCATGACCTTTGGATACACAGGCGAGCGAGCAGCCACTACAGACAGGGCATAGGCCACAATTATAATCGCATTCTTCTTCTTCAGTGATCTCGGATGATGCACATAATCCACTGTGGGCCATAAACTAGGATGTCTTCTTTAGGTCTTTTAGGTTTCCCCAAAGCTTAGTTGCCAGGTCTACTGGATGTGTCCACATGCTGCTCCGCCAAGAGAGGACAGACTTGCAGGTCATGTTCTGGACTCTCTTCAGCCGAAGACACTGGCAGAGAGCTGTTTGGCTCTAATTTATATGAATGTTTGTTGAGTCTGCAGTGTCCAGTACGTAAGGGAAAACTGTGACTTGGTCTCTTCTGTTCAGGTGTGTAAGGAAATTTTTTTTCATGGCTATAACCTGTACTGGGGTGCTTTATTATTATCCTACCCCAAACATGGGAAATCCATAGGTTACGGGATAGTCTAATATTTCAGGGGGTGGTAGATAGGTTTTATGCAGTCGTGGGACATAGGCTGCACTATCTCGTGGGGCGTAGGTGAGTTGGGGTTAGGGCCAATTCTAGATGTTTTGGGGTCGTTAAAAGCATCACAAAGCCGGGAAATCCAGTCTTACCACCCTCTAAAATGTTTGATCGTCCTGTGACGCCATCTGGGGTAGGGTATTAATAAAGAACCTGTACTGGTTTTCCAATCTGTTTTTTATTTTCTCTGAATGAGAGTTCTGAATTCTGGAAAAATTATGATATCTACTATGATACATTTGCAGCAGAGGTTTAGCCATGTTATCGACTCCAGTTGGTTTCATCAGTTATCTCCTAGCTTTAGCTGACCAATCAAGTGGTAGACAGTGTGTTTACTTCCTACGCTGTAAACAGGAGACAAACTCAGCCAACTAAGGATTAAAGGACCAATTCCTCTAGGTGTTGCCAAGTCAACGACTGGCTATCAGTTAACAGAAGTGACGCCAAGGGACTTTGATTATACCGGTAAGTACTTGGTCTCCCACAGCAGATACTGCAATGTATGGATGCTACCAAACTGGCATACAGAACCAGATTCTGTGCATCTTACATCCACATAGTCTGTACACTGTCAGGTCACCAGACAAGACACACAAAAACTTACTCCACTAGCTGAAGACGAGCAACAGACATGCCTTCACCCGGAGACCCAGCTAGGGCAGACCAGAGATCCCTCTCCTTGCGAACGTCAACTGGCTCATCACCTGCTCCATCCGAGAAACCTCCCATGGGTTAAACTATTCCAGCATCTACAGAAATATTGGGATCTGTTTCGAGGTCCTCATGGATATGCTCAACATGCTGGCAGTTAGAGAGTGTTGTCTGGCACTGGATAGTAATGGCATGCCTAGTCTGTTCATTCTTGTGTCATGCCTTGTTTATTTTTTGATACATTGACATTCCAATAGTCTTTGTCTATTCTTGTATCATGCCTTGTTTATTTCTTGAAACATCGACATTCCAATAGTCTTTGTCTATTCTTGTGTCATGCCTTGTTTATTTCTTGAAACATCGACATTCCAACAGTCTTTGTCTATTCTTGTGTCATGCCTTGTTTATTTTTTGATACATTGACATTCCAATAGTCTTTGTCTATTCTTGTATCATGCCTTGTTTATTTCTTGAAACATCGACATTCCAACAGTCTTTGTCTATTCTTGTGTCATGCCTTGTTTATTTCTTGATACATTGACATTCCAATAGTCTTTGTCTATTCTTGTATCATGCCTTGTTTATTTCTTGATACATTGACATTCCAATAGTCTTTGTCTATTCTTCTGGTCTGGTAGTCTTAGTTTCAGCTTCATAGCAAACGGGTCGCCCCATCTTTGCTCCGCTCCTGTGCCAGCGAAAAACACCCAGAATGTTTATCACAGTCCCTTGTGGAAAGATTGACAGACTGCTGTCTCAGCATATCTAGCATACACTCGCATTAACGCATATGGTAGCCATCCGAAGTGCTAACACAAACAGTCCAACATTAGAAATGCAGTTCATCATTGATGATAGCAGAACTTGTCGCCAACAGATCAGCAGTTGCCCGCGCGATCAATTTTAATACAGGTCCCGCCAGCATTGCACGACCGGCATCGCGCCATTTTCTGAATCTACAATTCACACCACTTTGGTCACAGTCGAAAAAACATTCCAAATGCAATCCGCAGCTCACAGGGTCACGCCATGCATTCAACTCAGAAGCTGGGTGACGAAACTATATCCAGTCTATTCTTGTATCATGCCTTGTTTATTTCTTGATACATCGACATTCCAACAGCCTTTGTTCATTTTTCGGAAATGTGTTGAGTAGATATTAATACAGTGACATTCCAAGTCTATTAGTTGCCCGCACTGACATTCCAAGTCTCTATTAGTTGCCTGCATTGACATTGCAAGTCTCTATTAGTTGCCTGCACTGACATTCCAAGTCTCTATTAGTTGCCCGCACTGACATTCCAAGTCTCTATTAGTTGCCCGCACTGACATTCCAAGTCTCTATTAGTTGCCTGCATTGACATTGCAAGTCTCTATTAGTTGCCTGCACTGACATTCCAAGTCTCTATTAGTTGCCCGCACCGACATTCCAAGTCTCTATTAGTTGCCCGCACTGACCTTCAAAGTCTCTGTCCCCTCTTGAGCCATGCCTCGTGTACACATTACTTGAAACAATGACAGTTCATAAGTCATTGAACATTTCTGAAAAATGACTTTTGAATATATTACTTGGCGAGGGTGGTATTCCAACAGTGAGTTTATTCTGGAGCCATGCCTCGTGTACACAGACTCACACATTCATATTTTGGTATATGTACAAATGCCATGACATATACATATTATCAAGCGTCATGCATGACATGCATACATAAGTACATTTCACACATGTATATCAAAGCATGCAGCAATGCACCTGCTGTCGGTCCCGTATGCCGCAGGTTGAATACTTTCCTGACCGGCAGTCTGGTGTAATACTGTCTCCCATTACCAAGGGTGTGTGGTCATTTTTTCGAAATGACTGGTTTTCTAATAAAATTCATTAAACAAATTAAAAATGAGCAAAATGAGGTTATACAAGAAAAATTTGGAGCAGGTATTTTTTCTTTAAAAAAAAAGGGTACAGTACTAACCACAAGGTGTCTCAAAAAAGTGCCTGTATTGTGTGTGTGTACTGTACCATCAAAACAAAAAAAGCCCTGGTTTTACGGCTATCAGACTTTACTTACTTACTTAATCGATCCTCTTCTGCCTTGGGGTGTAGAGGTTTGCCAGAGATATCGCCAGACTTCTCTATCTGCAGTTTCCTTTCTGGATTTGTTCCATTCCAGTTCTCTTGTCAGGCAAGGACTGTCGGATGTTGCCTTCCCTGGCTTGTTCTAGAAGTCCGGTTCCCTAGTTGTTAGCTTCCCATGGTGGTCAATGCTCTCCCATTCTGCATACATGTCCAAACCATCGCCACAGCAGACCTTAACTTAATGAAAATATACCAGAATTTTGTGTGTCCCCCACTGCCCCCCTCCACTTACTAAAATGTAAATCAGCTGTCACTTACCCCATAACTTTTGTCTCCCATCTCACTTCGGACGTGATGTATCAAATGACCGTTGACATACAACATATCTGTGGCCATACGGGAGTCCATCTGCATCACCTGGTAGGGATAATCTGCCACATCCTGCATTTGCTGTTGTTGGGAACATCAACAAAAACTGTCACATCAATAATCAAGTCTAACAATAACTTCTGCCTCTCCTCTCCCAATGATATATACTCATGCCACATCAATAATCAAGTCTAACAATAACTTCTGTCTCTCATCTCCCATGCCACATCAATAATCAAGTCTAACCATAACTTCTGCCTCTCATCTCCCATGCCACATCAATAATCAAGTCTAACAATAACTTCTGCCTCTCCTCCCCCATGCACATCAATAATCAAGTCTAACCAGAACTTCTGCCTCTCATCTCCCATCCCACATCAATAATCAAGTCTAACCAGAACTTCTGCCTCTCATCTCCCATGCCACACATCAATAATCAAGTCTAACCATAATTTCTGCCTTTGACCAGCCAATGAAATAAATGCTCTCAACCAACTCACACCAACTACTTTTAACTGTATAATCATTCATGATTGGTTAGACAGCAGAAAATAACTTTTCACTGAACAGACTGCACACTCTGGGTATACCAACTAGAGCAGCGGGACGGGAAAACCATACGGCAGCCACCCGTCATTACATCAACCTAGACAGAATGGGAGTTGTAAGCCTAAAGACCAAGTGGCACTCAGTGGGTGATGTGGTCAGCATCACGTCAGTCGCCTTTACTTCTTAGGACTGCACCTGGTACACACTCAAGGCTGGGTCCATCTGGGTGCCAAGTCAGGCTACATCAGTACCCGAACCCACGACCTTCAGATGCGCAAGCGAGCATTAAATGAAAGTTTAATGCATTCGAAAACAAATGTCTGAGTAAACTGATCAACAGAAAAAGTGAGGAATTCAGTAGGGGTGAAGACATAAGAGAAATGTCTGGGTAACTACTAGTATCAACAGTTTAAGACGGAGAAGATGACACCCTATTGGACGCATTCTGAGAAGAGACGACACCCTACTGGATGCATTCTGAGAAGAGATGACACCCTACTGGACGCATTCTGAGAAGAGATGACAGCCTATTGGACACCTTTTGGGAAGAGACGACACCCTACTGGAATCATTCTGAGAAGAGACGACACCCTACTGGATGCATTCTGAGAAGAGATGACACCCTATTGGACACACTCTGAGAAGAGACGACACCCTATTGGACACATTCTGAGAAGAGACGACACCCTACTGGATGCATTCTGAGAAGAGACGACACCCTACTGGATGCATTCTGAGAAGAGATGACACCCTATTGGACAAACTCTGAGAAGAGATGACACCCTATTGGACAAACTCTGAGAAGAGATAACACCCTACTGGACACATTCTGAGAAGAGACGTCACCCTACCGGGCACATTCTGAGAAGAGACGACACCCTATTGGATGCATTCTGAGAAGAGACAAATAGAGAATCACCAAACAGGCACCGTAACAGGAAAGTGACCGCTGAGTTTTGGCTGTTCAACCACTTCTGGACTGCAGTCGTTCCAGAACCAGAGTGTTGCGTGTGCATCCTTTTTACAGATCTGACATTTGTATGCAGACTGTTGGTTCCTTGCCTCTCAAGCAGATGCACTTTAACTTCGAAGGCAGCTCCCAATTAGTCGACTCTTATGACATGCTTTTGGGTAGGCAGTGGGTCTATTCTTGTTTTCCCTGTAACAGGGTCTCAGAACCCACATGGGGAAATGAGCATGTTCAAAAGAAACCCTGATGAGAAAAACCAGAGGCGCTAAACTGGATTCTTTGCATGACACCGAAGTGACTGCATAGGATAGAGTAAATACTCAAAGCATAGGATAGAAGGAATGAAGAAACAGGCTGCGAGTCCTATGTGACACAATGATGGCACAACAAGATGACCGTGAACGAATGAATCATTATTTTTCTAATGGTTCTGGCTCTCCCAGCTGCAAGATGAACCTCACTTACCCTTAGAACACCTTGGACGTCTGGTCCTGGGGCAACGGCCATGACATTACGACCTGCCATGTTAAAGACATCCTTCAGGTGAAGGGCTTCACAGTTGGCAAAGTTGACCTTTGACACAGCATACTCAGGGAAAGCTTCTGCAACGGCCTGTGCCCCAGCCTCGTTGGTTCTCTTCCCGACACCAACAAAAATTTCCTTACCTGAGTAAATACAAGATTTTTTTAACGCAATTAGCTCATGATATAAGCAAAACCAATACAATACAGTTAATTAGGTTCATTGCAAAGTTACAATTATGATTCGAAGTAAAATATATAAAAAAAAAAAGGAAAGGTCTTTTTTTCATGCCTTTAGGCGTACAGGGCACAGAGGGCTAGTCCTATAATTTTATAGACCAAATCGGCGCAAGATGGGTGATGTTAAGTAGTCAGCATCAATCCGGCCACCTTTACTTCCCGGAACTGCTCCCGGTACCCACTCAAAGCTGGGTCGACCTGGGAGTCAAGGTAATTATAGGTGGAAATTCCTTAAAAATGCTGAGTAATTATGGTGGAAATTCCTTTAAAATGCTGAGTTATTATTGGTGGAAATTACTTAAACATGCTGAGTAATTAATGGTTGGAATTCCTTAAACATGCTGAGTAATTAATGGTTGAAATTCCTTAAACATGCTGAGTAATTAATGGTGGAAATTCCTTAAACATGCTGAGTAAGTGATGGTGGAAATTCCTTAAATATGCTGAGTAATTAATGGTGCAAATTACTTAGACACTGAGTCCCAAATGAAGCAGTTTCCTGAGATATTCTGAGTAACTAACAACGACTGTCTGGGAAAAGCTCATAAAAACAGAAAGGTAAAAAGCAACTAAATGAGACAATGTTCACAGGTCATGTAGAGAGAAGTGAGTCATCGGAAAACACCCCTGAACTGGAAAGATCAGTAGGTGAAAAGGCAGAGATATACCGAGAAAAATGATACTGGATGGTCAAGAAGGTAACATGCAGAAATATCAACAACTAAATTCAGCAAGAACAACTAGAACTACGATGCGTCAGGAAATATGAATGTCTAAGACAAGAGGCCTATTCAGCTAAGTTTTTTTGTGTGCTTTTTTTGAGGGGCCAAAGTGTTGGAAATAGTCAGCTGGCTAGTGAACCAAGCCCTAGGATAGAAAGTTCATAAATACAACTGGCAACGATCCATGGGCCACTAGCTAGGCTTTGGTGGAGCAGATGTGGCTTGCAAGCCACCAGTTGAATCGCCCTGGTCTACGATATCTGACAAAAGCACATGATGATGATGGCTGGGCTGGTTTTGTTACTGAGAAGGTAGTGAATGCCTCAGAGTTATATCCTCTTCTTAAAGTCCATGCCATGTGGCCTGATAGTCATGTCTTATCCACAACCTTCTGTCTCGTGTACTTTCAATCAACTCTGACGCAGATGATCCTCCATGCCATGACATCAAACTGTCCAACATTTGTTCTCTCCCTCTGTCTCTCCTCCCCTGGGACTTTCCTACTGTCACGCTGTACTCCAGTTTTTTCCTTCTCATCACATGACCAAAGAATGTAGATTTACAGAGTTGTATAATACTGGTATAATAACTATTTGGGCGTAAGACGTTTTACAAAATTAAAAACTTCTGGTTCTTCTTCTTCTTAGCTTTCACCAGCTGTAAACTCGGGCGGAAAGTTCTGGTTGTTCATCCACTTCTGGACTGGAACTTCTGTTCCATAACCTGAGTAATGCGTGTGCATCCATTTTACAGATCTGACTCATTTGTATGCAGACTTCTGGTTCCTTGCCTCTCAGGCAGATGCACTACAACTTTGAAGGAAGCTCCCAATTAGTCGACTCTTACGACATGCTTTTGGGTAGGCAGTGAGTCTATTCTTGTTTTCCCTATTATAGGGCCCCAGAACCCACACAGGGAACTTCTGGTTCATCAGTATGCTTCAACCCCGACCCTGAGTAGCAGACTGGACCCCTAGTCCTCTTGAATAAGTAAGGTAAACTAGGAAGAAAAGTGTGCGCACTGCAGTAAATGAAAGGCAAACATATACCTGTAAATAGAACGTCACCGCCGTCCAGGGTTGCCTTGGCATTCTGAATTTCCACAACATTCATACGTAGATCCCCCTTCAACACTTTACGGATTTCTCCCACCTGTAATACATTAAACAGGTGTCAATCATCCAACAATGCAAACTACCATAAAAGTGCAAATGGATCTTAGATCCCTTGTAAACTACTGATCTGAATGCTTGGTGCGACACTGTGAGGAGTGGATTTCATGCGGAATGTTTCTTTAATGTTGTGCCCACAACGGCTTGTGTTATGAACTGCACTAAAAGTAGCAGGTGGCTGACTGCATTAGGAATGATGTGTACTTATGACATGTTGTGTGTTCAATGCCAGCTTTTATAACTGACTGACTGCATTGTGATCTGCAATTCCTGTGTGGGACTGCTACTGCTGGACTGTTACTTCTGATGGCTGCCTTATGCAATTATCTTGCATGTGTGAGCATCGAGATTTTACTAGGACTGACATGCTTTTCACTAGTTTACCAATGAAGGACATTTTGTGTGATTTGCACTGGCACAGGAATGGAACATCTATGGGACAACCCGTCTGCAGTAAAGCTGGAGCCTCGACTTTTGAAAATGGATCTGATGTCACATCAGCTTACAATAAATTGCCTCAGTCGAGCTATCAAAGCTGTGTTCCTAGGAAACTACCTCCTAAAACAAGGCATGGTCAGACACAAGAGACATATCTCTCCCTGTCGTCAGCTGTGCCCCGGCCAGGCTATCACTATAAAAGCCGTGTTCCGAGGAAACTAATTAACGGGTAAAACCTAAAACAAGACATGGTTAGAGACAGAGACAAGAGTCATAACTCTCCCTGTTGTGAACTGTGCCCCGGCCAGGCTATCACTATAAAAGCTGAGTTCCGAGGAAACTAATTAACGGGTAAAACCTAAAACAAGACATGGTTAGAGACAGAGACAAGAGACATAACTCTCCCTGTTGTGAACTGTGCCCCGGCCGAGCTGTCAAGGCCGTGTACCTAGAAAACTAATTACCTCCTAAAACAAGACATGGTTAGAGACATGAGACAACTGTGCCCCGGCTGGCTATCAATATCAAAGCCGTGTTCCTAGGAAACTACTACTTTCTAAAACAAGACATGGTTAGAGACAAGGGCTCTCCTTGCAGTACCGGACGAGAGCTGGACGGCGTAGTGTGGTTTAGTGGGAGTTCTCTCCCTTGGCCGCACTGGAAACTGAGCGGAAAAGTCACGAAACAAATGACATACTTACCTATCATTATATGGTTGCGTGTAGGGTTGCGTACGCTTGCCTGTAGGGTTGCGTTGTCATCATACGGTTGCGTGTAGGGTTGCGTAGTCATCATACGGTTGCGCGAAGGGTTGCGTAGTCATCATAGGGTTGGGGTTAGGGGTAGGGTTAGGGGTAGGGTTAGGGGTAGAGTTAGGGGTAGGGTTAGGGGTTAGGGTTAGATGTGAAAATTTTGACGTAGGAGTTCCAAATACTGGCCGACAATCTGATGCTTGTTGGAGTGGCGCCACTGACAGTCTGCCAAATATGACGGCAATAGCGTGCAGCTGGTGCCCAATCGGTGGCGAAGTGTCCGTAGTATCCACAGTCCGTCGACTGTTTGGGTGTGTATGTGACTGCGCGATTATAGCGAACTCCTGCGTCAAAATTGTCACATCTAACGCTAAACCTAACCCTAACCCAAACCATACCGCTAACCCTAACCACGCGAATTTATCGGTCATTAAAGCATACAGATCGACATAAACCCCCCCCCCCCCCCCCCCCCCCCCCCCCAAAAAAAAAACCCAGATTTTCCCTCAACGGACGCAACGTCAAAAAAAAAAAAACAAACAGATCTGGGGGACACAACCAAGCACAAGACAAGACAACTGTGCCCCGGCTGGCTATCAATATCAAAGCCGTGTTCCTAGGAAACTAATTACCTCCTAAAGCCTTAAACAAGACACGGTTAGAGACAGAGACATACCTCTCCCTGTCGTGAACTGTGTCCCGGACGGGCTATCAAAGCCGTGTTTCCGATCACCACCGCCGTGTCGTCAACAAAGCAACAGTCAGGGTAACTTTCATCCTCTACAAGCTCGATAATATTAATGTCGCAGTTTTTCAACACCTCCCGGATCGTTTCATACTCTTGTTTAGCCTTGTCTATATCCAACCCTTTGGGGTAATTGTCCGATCCGACGCTTCTGTTGGCCAGAGCGTTAGGAACTCTGCAAATGATAGCGAAGTTGTAGTGGAAGGCAGCCATGTTGTCGTGGACTTCCGCACCGGACGGGCAAACGACACCAGTCACCAGCACAGCAGGGCTGCCAATAGGACTTTTTTTGAAAAACCCAAGCTAAGATAACAAACAAAAAAAACCCAAGCAATACTTAAGCAAAAAACAACAACAACAAAAAAACCCAGATTGTTGAAAACCTCAAGTTACAAAACGAAACCTTTACCCACTTTATAAAAGAATATATATATATATAAAAACCAGATTTCAAAATTTGAACCCAAGGCGTCGAATAAAAACCTTAATCTGGGGGTAAACCTATCATTGGCAGCCCTGGTCACAGGGCTGTCGAAATTTGAAAATGGTACCGAACTATTTTGTAAAAAGGTACCAGAAGGTACTAAGTTTTTTTGTTAATTAAAACAACGTTAACATGTGTGTTTTATCACACACACACGTGCGCGCCGTGCGCACACACACAAACTGGCTTACCTTATATTGGTTCAGAATGAAAAATTACCTTGTCCATTACATCAATTCGACACTATCTCTAATTAGAAAGTTGGAACGATCCCCGGATTTTGGAAACACCGTGTTTACATCCCTGCTAGTGCTACGAATACGACAATTGGAAGTAAATATCGGCACAGCCAAGCATGAGAGGCACACCGAATGTATAAGAAGTCTTGTCAACAGCCAAATACAGGGACTATTAACCAGGAGACGCTGACGAATACGTTGAAGGGGAATCTGAGCACCTATGGACCTGTCTGGAGTGCTGCGAAGAAAACCCAGTTCATAATCATGTGAGTCCCCCTCAGTTTGTTACAAAGCAGTTGTGGTGGCTTCCAGTGGGTGCAGTTAATGTCCTGGAGCAATACGTCGATCTCATCAATTAATTTTGTATTGAAGTCTTCAAAGAAGGGCGATGTAAACAAACACACAATCTTAAAATTGTTTAGCAGAGAGACAATTGCAGCTGCAAAGGAATGAGTTCAAAAGACTAAGCATGCATTATGATACTTCTGGAAAGCAATTTTCTCCTCCACGCTTTTTTTCTCTCTCTGAAATTGTGAGCCAAATTTGTCTGGTAAGTTCTCAGCATTAGGTAGTTGATCTTGCGCTACCAATTACCTTCATTCTTTGTTAATTTGTCCATAGCGTTCTTCTTTAACAAGGCTGGGAAATTTCACGACCAATGACATAATTTACGTCAGTCTTCCTACAGTAGCATGGTTCCTGCGCAAGAATGATACGTAAATCGTCGGCTCTGTGGTTAAGTCGATGCGAACGCTTCGTAATGCTGGATGCCAGGTTCGATCCCAACTGAGGGCCATGCGCCTTGCGTTGGTTTCGACAGTGGTATCAAGAAAGCCGACCGTCCAGTAAACAATGACAAACTACTGGACGTAAATTTGCCTAGAAAACCCACACAACAGACAGGGGCTGTTGGGGTTGGTTCTGCAACGTCCTGTAAAGTATACGCAACTAACCTAACTTTCCTACAGTAACCTTATTGGACCCAGCACCTCAAGTAACTGTAGCATACAAATACTCGTTAATTCACCAGACAGAAAGTGCTGAAACACCAGCACACCCCCCCCCCCTAACTTTTTTTAAAGATTTAAAGTAATGCCAAATTTTAAATATTAATTTACAAGTTCCGGAACATAACAAAACAGCGAGCATGGTACCAAAAGTACAGATTTGCCCTGCAAGGGTCAAATAGTAGCGTGACATGGAAGTAAAGCATGAGGCCAGTCTGTGTCGCCTTCGAGGCCGAGATAGGAGACATTATAACCAATTCCTCATGGGAACAATAAGTAGAAGAACCCTGGAGTGGCTGCTGCATCGGAGGACTGAGCATGCAAGGGAATGCCTAATGTACAGCGACGTAGATTGTGAAAACAGTAGCAAATGTGTACAAAAGTACCAATTTTGGCAGCTCTGCACTGGACTGGTTTTTGGGGCGGGGGATAATTCGGGCTCGAATCACGGATTCAAATAATTGGGTATATTGTTATGTTGGGGGGGGGGGGGGGGGGGGGGGGGGGGGGGGGGGGGGGGGGGGGGGGGGGGGGGAGGGGGGTGGGGAGGGGGAGGGGGGGGGGGGGGGGGGGGTGGGGGGGGACGACATTCAAAAATGTAAAACAATAAAATAAGTGCCGTGCAAAGCGCTACTGATGTATTGGTGCTTGTTGGGGACGCTGAGAGGACAAGATGGAATCTTAATAGGATCGACCTGTATAAGGATTCCGCAACAGAAATTAACAACCTGCATACAAATAAGTTAGATCTGTAAAACAAAACAGATGTGCACGCAACATTCAGACTCTGAAGCAAGACTAACGTCCAGAGGTGGACAAACAACCATAACTTTCCGCCGAAGTTTACAGCCTATGAATGCACATAAGAAGAAGAAGAAGAAGAAGAAGAAGAAGAAGAATAAGAAGAAGAAGAAGAAGAAGAAGAAGAAGAAGAAGAAGAAGAAGAAGAAGAAGAAGACAGACTCACAGCACAAACATAAATTAAGATGAGATCTCAAGATAAGAAATCAGGACATCGTCATTATCATGTACCGCGCCGGTAAGCGTAGGCTGTTTTGTTTCACCCTCTCATACGATTACAAGAATCGCGGATGTTCAGTGTTTTTGTCTCACCTCATCCATCTGGCCAGGTCATCCAGGCATCTATCTCTTTGCTTTCCTCTTGCACTCTTTCCATCAGTCTTGCCAGTTGTTCTCAAGCCAGAAGTCGGCGTGTATCTCCTTGAGAGGCAAGGAGTCAACAGTTTCCCTACCAACCAGCTAGATCTATAAAGCAGATCACTGCCTGTCTTTACATTTTGGTGCCCTCGATCCAGGATTGAACCTGGATCTCCCTCATGACAATTTGGCGTTCTAACCATTCGGCCAGCTTTCCCTCCTGGTTGAACAACTATCTAATGAAATCGGATGTGTCGAGCCGAAGGGCGCATATATCGCAGCCCAGCATTAAACCATAACATAACGTGCCAACCGCCTTTTAAAGGGCGACAGCAGCAGAAGCACTGCTGCAGATGTCACCCGCCACAATTCATTTTTTATGATGGCTTCTTTTTTTTTTCCACAGTTTGTGACTCAAAGTGATGTTAGGTCTGAGGTGTCCTTATATTTTACTTCTTCGGTAGTAATAATAACAACTCCACTGGGGAGCATGCGCAGCAGGGTTCTACCAATCATCAGTAGAAAGATCCCTCATCGACAGTTGTTTTGGCCCGTTACTTCCAAAACAATCTCAAATTGGTTCACGACGCCAGGCCTCGATCTTTTCCTGCGGTACTTTATCGGACAGGGGCAAGACGAAATGGTGACTTTGCAACAGGTATTGTGAGATTTGATGTTATATATTGACACTGCGGTAGCAAATTAGCCGCCTACCTTTACGACCAGAGTGAAAAGCTTACGGTTGATTCATCGGACAGGTGTTAGACTTTGGCAATTGGCACTAAAACAATGGCAGATATTTATCGGGCACTTTATAAATGAAAAGCTCTTTTCCACTCAGACCAGTTTACCGAGGCCCATACCCCACGACGTTCCGTTGCGTCCAAAAATCAAATCCAAGCCCTTTCCAAAAGTTTCGCCCAGTAGTCTTAGTTCCGTCTATGCTCTTTTCCTTACAAGCCCAGGTGCTTCAGTACATTGTATGTGGAAGTGGAGATAAGTCCTCTTGCGCCTACCTCGACGGCAAAGATTTTACTGAGTACGCTTCATCTCTCCTTAGACCGGCCACCAGCTCACGGTACTTTATGAGCTTGTACAGGTGATTTTCTTTTCATCCGCGACTCGTACGGCACAGTCAGCTCTATCATGATGAGCTGGCATTTTTCCGCAGAGTGCAGGACCATGACCGGTCTTTCGGATTGATTCTGGGTACTTTTCGAAACCAGGCAGGTCGACCGCCAGTTACCAGTCCCTTGCAGTGTCAAGTACTGATGAAGAGTATACGACCTTGTTGACTTTCCTTTAGAGATCTGCCCATCCTTGAAGAAGCATATGAAATGACAGTATGAAACTAGAAGAACAACAATATGGCAAAACAAATGGAAGAATAACAATGAGTATGGCAAAAATAAAAATGGGAAAGAAACAATGAAATTACAAAAATTTGAAAAAAACTAATGGGAGAATAACAGTAACATTGTGTTATTATTTGCAACCAAGAGCGTACATCATCATCATCACTAAGTGCCTTGCAAAATGGCATGGGCGATCATGCTTCTCCACAACATGTGATCAACATCACCATTCATTAGCTTATGTGCTGACGCCCCTTCAAGCCATGACAAAAGACTGTGAGCCTTCAAATTAGAACATTCTTTGATGCTTTAAATCTCCCAATGAATTATAGGTCCTCAACCAAGTTAAGCCAGATTTTTATACACAGGTTCACTGATGATTGGAGTACACAGCTACAATTTTCTACTGACTCACAGAGCATGTTGAGAAAGGTGGAGACAGGCATGCTCCGTGCAGAGTGGCAAGCATCACTTCAAAGGTCCTGGGTGATTAGCATCCTTTGGATATTTTCTCCAGGTCATGCAGGTGTGTTGGATAATGAGCAGGCAGACAGACTTGCCGGTTCTGCACGACGTGGTGGTGAACTTATGTATGACACATTGGATGTTGTGAGGGCCCTTTGGGTACGAATAAACAGTGCCGAGGCACAGATAGATCATTACAGTCTGGGGAAAATGGCACTGCGAGGAGTTACAAGGGAATCTGGCTGACGCTTAAGACTCAGAGGGAAAGGTGAGACGGATATACAATCAGACAGTTACTGGTACCATCGGAATTTTAACTCTTCGCTTGCTGTTGAAGATGGGGACGGAGCGCTTATGGGGGTGTCCCGAGTGCTGTGATGTAGATTCTTAATTCAACATTCAATTTTCTGCAATTTACGACAGTCTTACGCCAAACCCTCCTTAGTTAAGTTCTTATGACATGCATGGTGGGTTACGGTGATACAGCAAAACCTCGCTAACGCGAATTCCAAGAGACAAAAAGTTACTTTTATAAAATTTGTGTTAACCGTTGACTAAACCACTCTAATAAAAACAAGACCCTGCAGGGACCAACATTTTGTTCATGTTCACCAAGTGTTAATCTTAAGCGAGTTTGTGTTAACAAGATTTTACTGTAATTGTATTTTGGTGTGCAGAGTAATGAGCAGGCTGAGAGATTGGCTGCTGCTGCCCCTCTGGGTGGTGAGCCACTTTATCATAAAGTGGACACGGTGAAGGCTCTCTGGAATCAACTAGACAGTGCAACAGAACAGACAATGTACCCAAACCTTGAAAGACTAAATGAACTGAGATTCTGGAAGATATTCAACAGTGGGGGAAACATAGGCAGACTTTAATCAGATTGCAACTAGCACTATCTGTATGGGGAAGCCTGTTCCAAACACAATAAAGACAAAACTGTATAGTATACGAGGGGGATATGGACAGCACAATAGCTTTCACAAAAGCTACCAACCTCCTGATATGTTTTCTGACACAAGAACTGAAGAAGATGAAGTATGGGGAACTCTTCGCTGGCTACTAAGCAAGAAGACTGAGCATGTGTGGGACTGCCCCGAGTGTAGTGATGTCAAATCTTGATTCATTTCTTCATTCAAGGGACTAGTAACACATAGTCAATCAAATTCCTAATTATGTCAAAGTCTTCCAGTCTGATAAAAATTTGGGAGTATCACTTTTTGTTTAACGTGTAAAGTTACTTTATTCCCATCCCGGTGTGGGATCTGGGGCCCTGTTGTAGGGAAAACAAGTCTGAGTGCATCTGCCTGAGAGGCAAGGAACCAGCAATCTGCATACAAATGAGTCAGATCTGTAAAACGGATGCACACGCAACACTCATGTTCTGGAACACGGCTGCAGTCTAGAAGTGGACGAACAACCAGAACTTTCCGCCAGAGTTTACAGCTGGTGAACGTGAAGAAGAAGAAGAAGAAGAAGAAGAAGACCTGATTCACACTATTAACTATTAAAGTGCAATAAACCTGGTGTTTCAACAATACAGCCAGTTTGTGATTTAGGCATTGCGAAAATGCTTCTTAATTCTGAAATACCGAGTTCGACTCCAGCTGCAGTGCCTTGATTTCAACAATAGTATCAAGAGCTGACCATTTTGAAAGTAATGGCAAACTAGTGAATGCAAAATTGCCTAGTAAAATCATAGAGCCAACAAATGCTTGGCTTGGTTCTGCAACCTCCTTATCTAGAATACAAAATAGCATGACAACAAACAATCACATAATCTTATGTGGAGGTCAAAGAGAAAACCATCACGTTTTACCCTAACGATAAACGTCAAAGGGAAAACCATCACATTTTACCCTAACGATAAACTTCAAAAAGAAAACCATCACATTTTACCCTAACGATAAATGTCAAATTGAAAACCATAATATTTTACCCTAAAGATAAACGTCAAAGGGAAAACCATCACATTTTACCCTAACGATAAATGTCAAAGGGAAAACCATCACATTTTACCCTAACGATAAACTTAAAGAGAAAACCATCACATTTTACCCTAACGATAAACGTCGAAGGGAAAACCCTCACATTTTACCCCAATGATAAACGTCAAAGGGAAAACCATCACATTTTACCCTAAGGATAAAAGTCAAAGGGAAAACCATCACATTTTACCCCAATGATAAACGTCAAAGGGAAAACCATCACATTTTACCCTAAGGATAAACGTCAAAGGGAAAACCATCACATTTTACCCCAATGATAAACGTCAAAGGGAAAACCATCACATTTTACCCTAATGATAAACATCAAAGGGAAAACCATCACATTTTTACCTAACGATACATGTCAAAGGGAAAACCATCACATTTTACCCTAACGATAATCATCGAAGGGAAAACCCTCACATTTTACCCCAAGGATAAACGTCAAAGGGAAAACCATCACATTCTACCCCAAGGATAAACGTCAAAGGGAAAACCATCACATTTTACCACAACGATAAACGTCAAAGGAAAAACCATCACATTTTACCCCAACGATAAATGTCAAAGGGAAAACCATCACATTTTACCCCAAGGATAAACGTCAAAGGGAAAACCATCACATTTTACCCAAACGATAAACGTCAAACCATCACATTTTACCCCAACGATAAACGTCAAAGGGAGAACTCTCACATTTTACCCTAACGATAATCATCGAAAGGAAAATCCTCACATTTTATCCCAACAATAAATGGGAGCCTTAAATTCCCATTTCCCTGTGTGTGTTCCAGGCCTTTGGGGGGGGGAAAAATAGCAATGTGGTTTCTCTTAATGGCATCCCACTCCAAGAAATGGAGTTGTACATCTATTTGAGCAGTAATTTAAAGATGGGTGAACTGACAGAGATATTAAAATTCGAATACAAACAACAAGAGGAGTTTTCACAGCACTAAGAAATTAGTGGAGGCCAAAAGAAATTAAAACTATTACTAAACTTAAAATTTTTTAATCCTAATGTCAAATCAGTACTGCTGTTTGGAGCGGAACATGGAGAACAACTAAGGCAATTATCAATAAACTACAAACATTCATTAACTGATGCCTGAGCAGAATAGAGGGAATTAAATGGTATGACAGAATCTCTAGTGTAGAGCTTTGGGAGAGAACTAAACAAGTTGCAGTTAACCAAGAGGTGAAGAAAAGACGATGGTGTTGAATAGGGCACACATTGAAAAAACCTGAGAACAATAAAACTAGAGTTTCTTTTGCACAGAAACCCACAGGGGCATAGAAAAAAAGGAAGATAAAAAAACACACGAAGAAGGGAGCTAGAGAGTGGAGTTAATAAGATGGGGAGGATATACAAAGAGCTGCATGCGACAGCAAAGGTTAGAGTGACTTGGTGTGAGTTGGTTGAGGGACTATGCTCCACTGGGGATTAGAAGGCAGAAGAAGAAGAGAAGAATAGATCCAATGCCGCCATCAAGGATGTTATAAAAGGTGACCAATTAGCGGGGTGTGCTACTAAAATCAGATCTGTTAGGTCAAAAGGTGCATATATCACAACTTAGCTGTAAAAAACAACACAATGCCCCAACTGCCCTTTAAAGGGTGAAAGAAGAAGAAAATAGAAGGAAAATAGTCACACAGAAATGTAATGGTTACGAACTATGCTAGGTGTAAGGAGGAAAGATCAACTTATAGAATAATGATATCAGGAGAAGAGTCGGCACAGAACCAATACTGAACTTTATAGGCAGCCAGAAAATCAAATGGTTTGGTCATGTCACAAGAATGGCATCAGACATGGCCCCACAGAGTGCAATGCTACACAAATACAAAAGTAACAGAGCCAGAAGTCCACAGCAGAAATATCAGAAACACTAAAAAGTACTTCATACGAAGCGAACAGAAGGGTCTGCTCCAAAAAATTTTTCCTTCCCTGAACCATTCAAAGAGTAGAGAGAAGAAGAAGAAGAAGAAGAAGAAGAAGAAGAGGAGGAAGTAGAAGAATAAAAAAAATCCACAGTGCAGTGATATTTAAAAAAAAAAAACTCCATACAAGTCTTTAGACAAACAATTTGACAAGACACCATATCCCCTGTGACGTCTGCAATGAACTCAACCCCAGTGTGCAACTCTGGCAGCGCTGCCAAGTCTTCTTGCTTAACTACAACAGCAGTGAGCTCCCTTTAGTCAGCAGGGACCGTAGGTTGCTGGGCTGCTCCATTTGTGCAGACATGTTGGCTTGCTTCAGACCAGCTGAAAACCACAGAATGGGGGGTTGCCTTGTTTTAGTAGCTAGGTAATTTTCATAACCCTGTTTACTTTACCAAGCTAAACAATTTATTACTGATTTATTATCAGCCAACATTTATGTATCAATTGTATTATGAGATTGGCTGCAGTGCTTTCACTGTTATCTTTCGGTAAGGTTCTTGTGGGTTCCAGTGCAAAGACATTCCTAGTTATATTGTTCTCAGGTTTTCTCAAGTGTGTTCTATTCAACGCCAGCTTCTTTTCTTAACCTCTTGGTACACTGGAACTTGTTTAGTTCTCTCCCAATTCACTCTATTCTGTGCAGGCACCAGCTAATTCATGTTAGTATTTTATTTGTAATTGCCGTAGTTGTTCTCCATGTTTCCGCTCCATACAACAGTATTGATTTGACATTAGAATTAACAATTTTAGGTTAGCTACTTCTTCTTCAGCGTTCCGAGCCCTTGAGGTTCATTGCTGCAGATATCACCCGCCTCCATTCATCTCTCTGGTTGGCCTTCTCTTTCCAGTTGGTGACACCAAGTGTTTGCAGGTCTGTGTGGACAATATCTCTCCATCGTCTTCTTGGTCTGCCTCATGGTCTACAACCATTCATCTCCCTTGTGTATACAGATTTTATTTTTCTGTCATCTGACATTCTTTCAATATGCCACAACCATTACAGTCTATTAGCTCTCAATTTGCCAGTTATCATAGGTGATTTAAACTGGTCCTTCAGGTTGGGGGCTGACACCCCCACCTTAGTAAAACTTCACCTTGTCACGAAACAAACATCTAAGCCTCGATTTCAGATGGATTTGAGGTTTACTATTAGTTTTAATTTCTTACTCATAGTCTGCATACACATAAGCCAGATCTGTAAAACGGATGTGCACGCACAACTCAAATTCTAGAACAAGATTCAAGCCCACAAGTGGATGAACAACCAGAACTTTCCGCCGAACAAGACTCAAGCCCACAAGTGGATGAACAACCAGAACTTTCCGCCGAACAAGACCCAAGCCCACAAGTGGATGAACAACCAGAACTTTCCGCCGAACAAGACTCAAGCCCACAAGTGGATGAACAACCAGAACTTTCCGCCGAACAAGACTCAAGCCCACAAGTGGATGAACAACCAGAACTTTCCGCCGGAGTTTACAGCCGGTGACTACAAAGAACAGTGATAATCAATTGTGGGATTTCATGGTCTAGTCTGCACAAATTGTCGTAGGAGAAGCAAAGATCACTTATACAATTCTTCTTCGTTCACCAGCTGTTAGCTCTGGTGAAAAGTCCTGGCTGTTCATTCATTTGGACTTTGGCTTCGTGCCAGGGCCTGAGTTTTGCATGTACATCCGTTCTACTGGCTTGTGTGCTGGTTGTTCCTTGCCCCTCAGGCAGAGGCACTCTTTCTTCGAAGGAAGCCCCCAATTAGTCGACTCCTACAACATGCTTGTTGGGGAGGCAGTGGGTCTATTCTTGTTTTCCTAACAATGGGGCTCCAGACCCAACACAGGGAAGTTTTACAATTATTTTCTGACTTCTGATTTGTGACACCAGCTGTGTGCTCAGGCAGTCTTGTTTTAAGTGTGCAACAATAGCATTCTTATTTTTGTGGCCAGTCTAAGGAGCATATAGCACGACCCATAAATATTAGAGACTGGTCAGCACTCATAAGCAGCACCTTTGGCTTACTACAGGCAGCACCTTTAGCTTACTACAGGGAGCACCCATAGCTCACTACAAGCAGCACCTTTAGCTTACTACAGGCAGCACCCATAGCTCACTACAAGCAGCACCCATAGCTCACTACAAGCAGCACCTTTAGCTTACTAAAGGCAGCACCTTTAGCTTACTACAGGCAGCACCTTTAGCTCACTACAAGGAGCACATATGGCTCACTACATGCAGCACCTTTAGCTCACTACAGACAGTATCTTTAGCTTACTACAGGCAGCACCTTTAGCTCACTACACGGAGTACCTTTAGCTCACTACAGGGAGCACATTTGGCTCACTACATGCAGCACTTTTAGCTCACCACAGGGAGCACATTTGGCTCACCACAGGGAGCGCCTTTGGCTCACTACAGGCAGCACCTTTAGCTCACTACAGACAGCACCTTTGGCTCACTACAGGCAGCACCTTTGGCTCACTACAGACAGCACCTTTAGCTCACCACAGGCAGCATCTTTAGCTCACTACAGGCAGCACCTTTGGCTCACTACAGGGAGCACATTTAGCTCATTACAGGGAGCACCTTTAGCTCACTACAGGGAGCACATTTGGCTCACTACAGGCAGTACCTTTAGCTCACTACAGGGAGAACATTTGGCTCACTACAGGCAGCACCTTTGGTTCACTACAGGCAGCATCTTTAGCTCACTACAGACAGCACCTTTGGCTCACTACAGGCAGCACCTTTGGCTCACTAAAGGGAGCACATTTAGCACACTACAGGGAGCACCTTTAGCTCACTACAGGGAGCACATTTGGCTCACTACAGGCAGTACCTTTAGCTCACTACAGGGAGAACATTTGGCTCACTACAGGCAGCACCTTTAGCTCACTACAGGGATAACATTTGGCTCACTACAGGCAGCATGTTTAGCTCACTACAGGGATAACATTTGGCTCACTACAGGCAGCACCTTTAGCTCACTACAGGGAGAACATTTGGTTCACTACAGGCAGCACCTTTAGCTCAACACAGGCAGCACCTTTAACTCACTACAGGGAGAATATTTAGCTCACTACTAGCAGAACCTTTAGCTCACTACAGGCAGCACCTTTGGCTCACTACAGGCAGCACCTTTAGCTCACAGCAAGGAGAACATTTGGCTCACTACAGGGAGCACCTTTAACTCACTAAAGGGAGCACCTTTAGCTCACTACAGGCAGCACCTTTAGCTCACTATATGCAGCACCTTTAGCTCACTACAAGCAGCACATTTGGCTCACTACAGGCAGCACCTTTGGCTCACAACAGGCAGCACATTTGGCTCACAACAGGCAGCACATTTGGCTCACTACAGGCAGCACATTTGGCTCACTACAAGCAGCACCTTTAGCTCACTACAGGCAGCACATTTGGCTCACTACAGGCAGCACCTCTGGCTCACTACAGGCAGCACATTTGGCTCACTACAAGCAGCACATTTGGCTCACTACAGGCAGCACATTTGACTCACTACAGGCAGCACATTTGGCTCACTACAGGCAGCACATTTGGCTCACAACAGGCAGCACCTTTGGCTCACTACAGGCAGCACATTTGGCTCACAACAGGCAGCACCTTTGGCTCACTACAGGCAGCACATTTGGCTCACTACAGGCAGCACATTTGGCTCACTACAGGCAGCACTATTGGCTCACTACAGGCAGCACTATTGGCTCACTACAGGCAGCACTATTGGCTCACTACAGGCAGCACTATTGGCTCACTGTAGCCAGCAACTTTGGCTAAGTACAGGCACCACCCTTCAGCGATTCCTGAGAAGCAGCCTGCAGATCTGTGACTTCAATTCCTTGCGCAGATGAGCACCTCACTGCCTCGGCGTTTTAGACTGCTCTCTCTGGCACATTTTATGCAGAGACCCCAGGCACATATTATGGCAGACATGGGAAGCATGCATCTGGCGTAAAGAATATGAAACTTGCAGGATCAAATTCTACAGAATGATTAAAAAAAAAAAAAAAAAACAGAAGACAGACTAATGGAAATATTGAGAAGATTGAAGTAAAAAGTATAAAGTGAAGAGTAAAGTAGATCCAAAAGGCTGAGACAAAAAAAGCCCAGATAATATACGTAAAAAAATTAACTAATAAAACAGTGACAGGAACAGGGCAAAGCCTTGACCAGTGAATGAAGAATAACAGTTCGCCAGCAAAGAAATAAAACATACCATAATTCAAAAAAACAATTCTTAAAATAAAAAATAAACCCTTATACAATTCACAAGAAATAGAAAAGATGGGGAAAGTACAAAATAGATTTTAAAAAAAAAAACGAAAAAACGTGCACAAATATGAGAAATGAACAAACGAACAAAAATGAAACTGAACACATGCAACCCTCATGAATTGAGTGCAGCATACTTACTAGCTAACAAATGAGATTTGAAAGCTTCGTAGCTAACAGTAGGATCTCTGAGCCCTACGCCAACGTTTTCATTGGTCTCCTGTTTGTTTATCTCAAACTTGACCCACTTATAACGAGAACATTTGCGAGAGCCCGGACAAGACTGGATCAAGTTCTGGACCACCGGATGTGACAAGCCGAAGAAATCCAAGCCGTGGCCATCAACCGGCAACAAACTTCCACCCCTGAGGAATGACAAAGACATGCTGTAAGTTCATATTTTTTCTTCTTCACATACACAATTTATTCAATTGGAGGGAGTCGCTGTGGCAGAGCTGCTAGATGCTCAACGCGGATTGGAAGGTCGTGGGTTCGCTCCCTGGCAGAGCCGGACGTAAAAAAAAAAATGACTTTGCCTCTCAGGTCGACCCAGCCTTGAGTGGGTACCGGGTGCAGTCCCAGGAAGTAAAGGTGGTTGGCATGATGCTGACCACATCACCCATCTTGTGCCGATTGGTCTTAAAAATATAGGTCTAGTCCTACATGCCCTATACGCCTAAAGGCATGGAAAAGGGTCCTTTACTTTTACTCAACTAGCACAGTGAAATAATAATAAGATTCAAACATGGTATGCTAGGAATAGCGGTTGGTGGGCATACTGTTAACAATCTGCGATATGCTGACGATATAGTTTTGATCGCTGAAAGTGAAACACAACTGCAAGAAATGATGGATATAATTGTAACAGAAAGTAAAAACAAGGGTCTTAGTTTGAATGGCAGAAAAACAGAAGTAAAGGTAATTACCAAGAAAACTGACCCTTCAAAATGCAACATCAAAGTAAATGGAACAAACCTCAAGCTAGTTGATACGTTTAAGTACTTGGGTACCCTGACAACATCGGATGGAAGATGTATTACTTACTTAGTCGCTCCTCTTCTACCTTGGGGTGTAGAGGTTTGCCAGACGTCTCTATCAGCAGTTTTCTTTCTGGCTTTGTTCCATTCCAGTCCTCTGTCAGTTAGGGATTCCTGGATGTTGTCTTCCCAGCACACCCTGGGTCGCCCTGGAGGTCTAGTTCCCTGGTTCTTAGCCTCCCATGGTGGCCGATTTTCTCCCATTTTGAATACATGTCAAAACCATCGTAACTGTGACTGATCCACTCGGGTTTGTAAGGACTGGGTATCAAGATCTTGACGTATTGTCTGATTGCAGACTCTGTCCCTTCTTGTCACATAGACCACTTTTCTCAGATATCTCATTTCTGAGACCTGAAGCTGGATTCTGTGAGCTGTTGTCATTGCCCATCTTCTTCTTCGCGTTCACCAGCTGTACACTCTGGCGAAAAGTTCTGGTTGCTCGTCCACTACTGAACTGCAGTCCTGCTCCAGAACCTGAGTGTTGCATGTGCATCAGTTTTACAGATCTCATTCTCTTGAAAACAGACTGTTGGTTCCTTGCCTCTCCGGCAGATGCACTCTGACTTCAAAGGAAGCTCCCCAATTAGTCGACTCTTACGACATGCTTTTGGGGAGGCAGTGGGTCTATTCTTGTTTTCCCCACAATGGGGCCCCGGAACCCACACGGGGGGGTCATTGTCCATGACTCACATGAAGATGCATTAAAGAAGTCAAATGTCGAATAGCTCAAGCAAAGGCAGTATTTTACCAAATGAAGAATATATTATGCAATCTTTCTCTGTCAACTGAGATGAGTAAGAGAATTCTTAAAAGCAATAAAAATCATATATTGATATTGTGTGTAACTCATGGACAGAAAATTGGTAAAAACTTATTTGGAAGCTGCGGAGATGTGGGTTTATAGACAAATTATGAGAATACCCTGGACAGATAAAAATAGTAATGAAGATATCTTGAAGATTGCACACATCAGAAGGAGACAATCTACATTCTTGTGTCATGTGATGAGAAGGATAAAACTGGAGTACATTGTGACGGTAGGAAAGTTGGAGGGGAGGAGAGACAGGGAGACTGAGAGAACAGATGCTGGAGAAAGAGAAGAGGGAAAGAGAGAGAGAGAGAGAGAAAGAGGGAGAGAGAGAGAGAAAGAAAGAAAGAGAGAAACAGTCTAACACAGAGAAAAGATGAAACACACAAAGGAGATAGATAGACTGGAAGAAACAGATGGGTCCAGGTAAACAGAAACAAAAAATTAATTAACGAACTTTATTTTCAAAGGGTCACAAATTTGGCAGACAGGCCCATCTTACATTCTGCCCTTCCAAACAATCCTTCACAAGCAATTTTTCTATAAAGCATGTTTTCTAGTTTGGGGTTAAAGCGTAGGCGGACACTCCCACTCTTGTAAAACTTCACCTTCGTCATGAAACAGACAGAAGACTACGCCCTTCAACATCTGCTAAAGTCAAAGCACCAAAATCCAAATATATAAAATGTTGACAGACCAGTCATTTTGTATGGCTCTGAAACTTGGAGCATATCTAAAAGAGATGAAGCCTTATTACACATTTTCACAGAGTCCTACGGCGAATCTTTGGACCCATCAAAGATACAAACAGCAGGGAAATGGAGAGAGAAGCAACACTGATATTCATAATCTGTTTAAATCACCACTGATCACTGGTATTATGAGAGCTAACAGACTGAAATGGTTGGGGCATACTGAGAGAATGTCAAAAGACAGAGAGGCAAAAACTGTTTACACAAGGAAGCTAAATGGTTGTAGACCATAGACCTGCCAACACTTGATGTCACCAACTGGAAAGAGAAGGCCAACCAGAGAGATGAATGTAGGCGGGTGATATCTACAGAAATGAACCTCAAGGGCTCGGAATGCTGAAGAAGATGAAAAGAGCAAGTTCTGGTTTCCGTTCTAGAAGAAAAGCAAAAATCTCAACCACGTTCAACCTGCTGGTGACAGCTGAAGCTGCCAGCAGTCTCCGGTTATATTTGTGGTCTGGTGTTTTTGCACCACTTCTGTGTCAGCTCTCTGGCTTTGTCCACCTTTCCTCAAAGTCAGACCGCTTGATCCTATTCTGTGTCGGAATATGTTCCTCATGCCCTTATATTCCATTCCTGACGTTTTCCTCGTGGTTCATGCTCCTTGAAGACCAGCCAGGCGTATCTCATAGAAGAGCAAGCTAGTTCTACAAAACATCCTTTTGGACAATCATTTATAGTTTTAAATTTCTGGATAGTTTATACGTTGCCAGAAAGTACTGAAAACAGTTTTGGGGTTTGGATATAAAGCATGTTTTGTTCTTCTTCTCTCTTTTGTTGATATCTGCTTATGCCGCTAGGCGTTGCAGTTCATCAGACGATCGGCAGCCGAACCAGGGTGCGCTGGATCGCTTGATATGCCGTGATGTTATGCAGTCTCAAGGTGTCAGTGACTCCTTCAATCCATCTTCTTCTCCTGCCTCTTGGTGTTTTGATTTTCAGGTAGCACGCTCTTGCTGCTGGCATCGTTGGTTTCATTCTCATTAGATGGCCAAACCATTTCATATTGTGTTTCTCATTAAATTTGATGATGGGTGTTGTTCCAACAGTTCTTGTGATATCATTTCTCACTTGATTTTTTTTGGGTTTTAATCACAGCCATTCTCAAACATCTCATCTCAGCAGTGGTTAGTTTTCTCTCATGTTCTTTCCTAATGTTATATACAGTTTCTGTTCACATAACAGTATATATATATATATATATTTCAAGGATATCAAGTGAAGACTAACCTTGACTTATTGATAGCTCTAATCAGCAGATTGTGACACTCAATGGGCGAGTCGGATTTGAACACAATGTCCGAGCTGTCTTCTGCAGCAATTTCAAACTTGGGAAGACAAATACAGATTTTTAAATACTTTAAACAACACAGAGACAATTACTCACCCAATCATGAGCAACAAAATATGTTCGCCTCGTGTGGGTGCCAGGAAAAAAAAAGGGAAGGGGGGGGGGGGGGTGTAACACACTGTTCCTTAATAAGCCATTCATAAAATAAAAGGTGAGTAATTAAGGATTTATTAAATGGATGTACTGAGCCTAAAGCTGTAGATATCACAGCCTAGCTGTAAACTGCAACACAATGCACAAATTGCCTTTTTAAGAGCTAATGAAGCAGAAAAAGAAACATTTTCTTCATCACTGCATCTCTGAAGCGACTTTGTCTAGATTTTCTTGTAGGCCTCAGAGATAGAGATCACTGGGTCATGACAAGAGTCAACCAATACACATTTTTTTTTATTATGCATGCTTTCTAACTGACTCAATGAATATGCTCAAGAGGACCCAGAAGGGTTGCAAACGAAGACAATGGACGGAGTCCCTGAAAAGATCTAGCTGACAAAAATCAGTTTCGCATTTGTCCAGGGATATTCTGGTGTAAAGGGCAATGAACAAGCTGACGAGCAAGTTATGCTCACAGGGGAAACGGACGAGCAATGGACAGGGCTGGTATACCAAATGCCCAGTGCTTTAATAATATCCTACCCCAAACAGGGAAAATCCACAGGTCACGGGACAGTCTAATATTTCAGGGGGTGGCAGATAGGCTGCATGCACTTGTGGGACCTAGACTGCACTCGTGGGACATAGTTGGGTTGGGGTTAGCACCAGTTCTAGATGTTTTGGGGTCATTAAAAGCATCGGAAAGCCGGGAAATCTGGTCTTACCACCCTCTAAAATGTTAGACTGTCCTGTGACATCATCTAGGGGTAAGATATTAATAAAGCACCGAATGCCTTTAGAAAGGCAGCTCAATAAACAAATAAAGTTATGATTGTGAGTCTGCAACAGTGATGAGACTACAGGAACATAACATCAAAAGTGTTAAAGCCAGACAAGAGCAGTACACAGGGGTCCAAAGAAGAACAGTAAACCAACACAGAACTGGTGTCATAAGCTAATACACTGAGGGAGGTACTGAAGAGGGGATCTGAGCACTTATGGATTGGATGATTCCATGTACGATGATGATAATCTGTCAACTAAGTAACTATTTTTAAGGCTCCGGGGAATGTATTCCATTTAATACTTCACAATGTGTTTACTGAATACTCCCTTTATATACATGCACACTATACTATATATACTCCCAACGGAAATGCATATGTATGTATTTGTTAAATGTACATTTAAATAAATCTAAAACCAATTATTTGTGAAGTGCAAAAAAATTTTTTTAAGGATCGTTTTCAGGGATTTCTATTGATTCGTAGCCAATTCTTTTAGCGTTTCCGGGGTGAAAGGCTTAAGGGACTCTTAGCTAAAACTAAAATGTGCAACAGAGACAAGAAGAAACAACATTTTAAAAAAACGTGACTAACATTACAAATAAACCCAAAGGGGGAGTTCTTACAATTGGTCCGTCGTCGTTGTCGGAGATCTTGCAGGTGTACAAGCATTTTGAATCGAGTTTCTGAAGACTGGAAAACACTCGAGTGATGCAGTATCCCACGGGATAGATGGACTCAGGGCAGTGGAAGCTAAGACGGTCTGGAACAATCTGTAACACAAAAGAAAATATTCCCTTTAGACAAATAGTTACATTGCCTTGTTCACACAACATTCATCATACACTGCTTCATCCCTGTGTGAATTGTGGCTGGAAGAAGGGGTGGGGGGGTCACACTGGCCCATAACAAGCAGGAGATAAGAGTCGACTAATTATGGGTGTTTATGTTAGAGCTGGAGTACATCTTCCTCTGAGGTGAGAAACCAACAGTCTGCATACAAATAAGGCAGATCTATAAAATTTGTGTGCACTCATGTTCTGGAACAAGACTAAAGTCCACAAGTGGATGACCAACCAGAATTTATCGCCGGAGTTTACAGCTGGTGAACGCGAAGAAGAGGAAGAAGATGATTGACCGTGATGTTCCTGCGTGGGTTCCAGGGCCCTATTATAGGGAAAACAAGAACAGACCCACTGCCTACCCAAAAGCATGTCGTAAGATTTTGAGCTTCCTTCAAAGTCAGAGTGCATCTGCCTGAGAGACAAGGAACCAACAGTCTGCATACAAATAAGCAAGATCTGTAAAATAGATGTCCATGCAAAATTCAGGTCTTGGAACGAAGCCAAAGTCCAGCAATGGATGAACAAACCATTTTTTCCAGCGGGGAATGCAAGCAAAAAACAACATGATAACTAGGACAACAGCTCATCCCATCCATATGGATAAAGCCATCCATATGGATAAAGTCATCCAAGTATCTATCTCTTTGGCCTCCTCTTGCTCCCTTCCATCAAATTTGCCAGCTATTACTAAGTTCATGAGTCCATCCATTCTCATAACATGTCAACAACAAAAACATCAACAACTGTCTACGTCTAATTTTTCTAATCATCATAGTTTAATTTGTTCCAAGGAAGACTGCCTCCTTTACCTTCCATTGCAGGATATTCGTTAAATTCTGCTCTTCTACTTCTGATTCCACTTCCTTTGGCTATAAACTCCCAATGGAAAGTTCTGTTTGTTTGTCTACCTTTGAACTTTGGTCTTATTCCAGAATGCGGGCAAAATATGGAGTTAAAAATCTACCCAAAGTATTTCAGGATCCTCGCCAGTGCTACAGAGCCTGTACACTGTGCTGAGCTTCTGCGGACTCAGATTTGAGTTAGAAGAAGAACGGAGCACTTATGGGTTACTACCCGTGTGCCATGATGTTGATCCTTTGTTTCAACCTGGAACATCAGCACAGTCTGGCAACTGCACCAATCACGTGGCCGGGGTTCCCCCCCCCCCCTTTCAACAACAACAAAAAAGGCTTGGGATTAATGGCATTTAAGACAGTGGTGGGCGGGCTTGTTTCTTCTAAATAAATGCATCATGAACACAAGTGATGCACGCACTTGGTTTAACCTACCTCTCCAATACTGTGAAGTGTGATGTCTCCCAAAACCATGGGGAAAATGGGTCGCCCGAGAGAGTCTAGCATCAGGGGTGGTATCACTTTCTTGCCAGCTCCCTTGCCCTTCTTTGGCCTCACGTGAGGTTCTCCTGCAAACATTTTCAGCGTGATCAAATAACTATCTTGTGCTATGTATAAAATCTGTGTTGTGATACCGTCAAACTATTAACCTTTTTTTGACCTCCCCATGCCATAATCAAACTCAACTTTCTCTATCTTCACATGGCATTCCCAAACTAATCTTTCTCTACATCCCCATTCCATTATCAAACTCAACCTTTTCTACCTCCCCATGCCATTATCAAACTCAACTTTCTCTATCTTCACATGGCATTCCCAAACTAATCTTTCTCTACATCCCCATTCCATTATCAAACTCAACCTTTTCTACCTCCCCATGCCATTACCAAACTCAACTTTCTCTACCTCCCCATGCCATTACCAAACTCAACTTTCTCTACCTCCCCATGCCATTACCAAACTCAACTTTCTCTACCTCCCCATGCCATTACCAAACTCAACTTTCTCTACCTCCCCATGCCATTACCAAACTCAACTTTCTCTACCTCCCCATGCCATTACCAAACTCAACTTTCTCTACCTCCCCATGCCATTACCAAACTCAACTTTCTCTACCTCCCCATGCCATTACCAAACTCAACTTTCTCTACCTCCCCATGCCATTACCAAACTCAACTTTCTCTACCTCCCCATGCCATTACCAAACTCAAGCTTCTCTACCTCCCCATGCCATTACCAAACTCAATTTTCTCTACATCTCCATGCCCTTACCAAATTCAACTTTCTCTACCTCCCCATGCCATTACCAAACTCAACTTTCTCTACATCTCCATGCCCTTACCAAACTCAACTTTCTCTACCTCCCCATGCCATTATCAAACTCAACTTTCTCTATCTTCACATGGCATTCCCAAACTCAACTTTCTCTACATCTACATGCCCTTACCAAACTCAACTTTCTCTACCTCCCCATGCCATTATCAAACTCAACTTTCTCTATCTTCATATGGCATTCCCAAACTCAACTTTCTCTACATCTCCATGCCCTTACCAAACTCAACTTTCTCTACCTCCCCATGCCATTATCAAACTCAACTTTCTCTATCTTCACATGGCATTCCCAAACTCAACTTTCTCTACATCTCCATGCCCTTACCAAACTCAACTTTCTCTACCTCCCCATGCCATTATCAAACTCAACTTTCTCTATCTTCACATGGCATTCCCAAACTCAACTTTCTCTACATCTACATGCCCTTACCAAACTCAACTTTCTCTACCTCCCCATGCCATTATCAAACTCAACTTTCTCTATCTTCACATGGCATTCCCAAACTCAACTTTCTCTACATCTCCATGCCCTTACCAAACTCAACTTTCTCTACCTCCCCATGCCATTACCAAACTCAACTTTCTCTACCTCCCCATGCCATTATCAAGTTCAACTTTCTCTACCTCCCCATGCCATTATCAAACTCAACTTTCTCTACATCTCCATGCCCTTACCAAACTCAACTTTCTCTATCTCCCCATGCCATTATCAAACTCAACTTTCTCTATCTTCTCATGGCACTCCTAAAACTCATCTTTCTCTATCTTCTCATGGCACTCCTAAAACTCATCTTTCTCTATCTTCTCATGGCACTCCTAAAACTCATCTTTCTCTATCTTCCCATGGCATTACCAAACGCATCTTTCTCTTTCTATCCATGACATTACCAAACTCATCTTTCTCTACCTCCCTATGACATCATCAAGCTCATCTTTCTCTAAATCCCCAAGAAATTAGCAAATTCATCACTATTCCTCCACATGCCATTATCAAACCCATCTTTCTCTACCTCTCCTTGATATTACCAAACTCATCTTTCTCTATCGGCCTCTGCCATTGAAAACTAATGCTCAGTAAGGGCTGACTCAAGGGAGGGGGGGGGGGGGGGGGTTGTGAGGCAGACAGCCAAAATTCAATCAATAATGAACAGGTCTACAAATACTGTGAGCTGCCCCAGGAAGGATGATGATGATGATGAAATTACTGTAATGATGACAATGGTGGTAATGATAACGAAATTACTGTAATGATGATGCAAGGATAAAATTACTGTAAGGACAGTCATAATGATGATAAAGAATGATGATGAAATTACAATAACGATGGTAACAGACCATAATGATGATGGCAAGGATGAAATTACTGTAAGGACAGTCATAATGATGATAAAGAATGATGATAAAATTAAAATAATGATGGTAATAGATCATAATGATGATGATGAAATTATGATAATGAGGGTAATAGACCATAATGATGATGACAAGGATGAAATTACTGTAAGGACAGTCATAATGTTGAAAAAGAATGATGATGACATGACGATAATGACAATGATGATAGTAATGATAATGAAGATCAAACCTTGTTTCTTTTTCACTTCACCAGAACCGGCCAAACCCATGGCAGATGACAGGAGGCTGGCTGACGAGGGATGCTGGGGTGTCAAATTGGCACTAGATGATGATGGCACTTTTCGCTTAACCGCCTTAGGTTTACCTCCTGCGTCACTGGGTGGGGTATCATAAGACATCCCTCCTGGAACTGCACCTATAATGTGAAATGTGTATCTTGCATGGATATGTACATGGTTGCCTGGTTTTTTTTTTTTTTTTTACTTCTGGTATGCAAATGGTTGGAAAAAAAATCACACTAATGAACCTTACATCTTCCCCCAACACCTTGATGAGGTAAATGGTGGAAGAGAAGAAGAAGAAAAAGAAGATGCAAATGGTTGAACTTTCTAAAATCAGATATGTATACAGTTGTATTTTTTAGACTGGATATCTGTATTGTTACATTTTTTAAAATGAGATGTGTATCTGGTTGCATTTTAAAAATTTGACAAGTATCTGGTTGTATTTCATAAATTGGATATGTGATAGTTGTATTTTCTAAAGTGGACACCTATATGGTAGTTGTATTTTCTAAATTGGATATGTGGTAGTTGTATTTTCTAAATTGGATATGTGGTAGTTGTATTTTCTAAATTTGATAACTAAGTGGTAGTTGCACTTTCTATATTGGACATGTGGTAGTTGTAATTTTATCATTCAGATATGTATATGACTGTAATTTTATAAATCAGATATGTATATGATTGTAACTTTATAAATCAGATAAGTAAATGAGTGTAATTTTCTAAATCAGGCTAAATGCAACATAAAATGTGACTAGAAAGCTCAAAGTAGGGAATGAAAGAGATGCGCACAAATACAAATGAATGTTCCGACCAAAGTCTTTATCAACAGAATACCAAATGCATTTTGTAATATTATACCATGTAAAACATGGACAATAAGTAAATGAGCTAAAAATAAAACATTTATTTGCAGCAGAGATGTGGTTTCTGAGAAGAATGCAGAGAATATCATGGAAGGATAGAAAAACAAAGGAAGCAGTCCTCATCGAGGCAGATGAAAGTCGTAAACTTATTAGAACAATTAGACATAGACACTGTTTTTTTTGGGTCTTTTTGGACATGCTATGAGAAGAAATCAACTCAAGAATTTGATAAAAGCTGGCAAGACTGATGGAAGGAAAGCAAGAGGAAGGCAAAGAGATAAATACCTAGACGGCCTGGCCAAAATGATGGGGCGAGACAAAAATACTGAACTTATCAGGGATTCTGGTGATTGTGTGAGAGGCGAAATATAACTGCCTATGCTTACCGGCATGGCACATGATGATGACGATAACCAAATGCAACACAAACTGACTCAACGGACAAAAGAACAAGACAACAGAGCTTCTAAACAATCAAAGTCGACAGGAAACCAAGAAGTATGTCACTGGGAGGGGTAATATGGACATGAATGGATGTATTATGAAATAAGTAAGATGGTGTTTTAAAGAGAGAGGGAGAAACACAGACAAGTAAAATAATTAAATAAATAAATTAAATTTAAATATAGCAGTACTGAGTACTGATCCCTCCAGGATTAAAAACACCAAAACTGTGAATGAAACAATTTTTGAGTAGTGGCTGATCTGATCACCACAGCAAGATTTTATAGCAGTAAATGAGACATCACTTAAGCCTTGGTGGTTAGAATTATTAAAATGGAGACTCGATGGTTTGGTCAAATGATATAACTGAGATAAGATCAAAGACATAACCTGAGACAGGTAACAGCGTGAGATGGTGCATCCTAATCACAAACACTTATCGTCATGGCACATAAAGAAGATAACCTCTGCCCACTGGGACAGCACATCACCCAGAGATACACCAACTGATCCCTTCAAAAGCTGCAGCCTCACCTTTGGTCAGCCTCGACACAGGAGTCTGAGCCTCAGCTTTTACAGAAGTCAGACTGGGTTCAGTCAGTGACTGATACTGTAGCAGCTTTCGCAGCAGAAACCTTAGCAAACAAAACAATTGAAAAAAAAAAAAATTATTTAAACAATACCGACCAATCCGCCTAAAACAAATTTCTCAGACAGTACATAACACACTAAGGGACAAGACATTCAGGTTGGTTGAACAACCTGTAGAAGACGGATGTAAATTCCTATTCTGAACTAATCATGTTGTGATATCTAGGCCTCATTTTCCCTCTGCTCCTTCTGCATTCACCTTTAAAAGGGTAGCTGGCACACTGTGTTATGGTTTACAGATAAGTTGCGATACTATGCCTTTCAGCCCAACACATACTTCTTCTTCTTTGCGTTCACCAGCTGTAAAAACAGGTGGAAAGTTCTGGTTGTTCACCCATTTCTAGACTTTAGTCATGCTCCAAAACTTTAGTTTTGCATGCACATTCGTTTTACAGATCTGAATTATTTGTATGCAGACTGTTGGTTCCCTGCCTCTCAGGCAGATGCACTCGGACTTTGAAAAAAGTCATCATCATCAGGTGCCCTGCCAACTGGCGTGGGCGATCACGCCTCTCCACAATCTGAATCTCCGGCAGCATGTATCAATTTGTGTGCTGACACACCTCCATGCCATGCAACAAGACTGTCAAGAATCTTCCTTTGTTGTCTTCCCCTATCCCTTCTTCCACAGATCTTTACAGTGGTCACAACAAAATTTCATGCCTGGAAATTGAAAGAAGCCCACCCCTAATAAGTCTACTTTTATGACATGCTTGTTGGAGGGGCAGTGGGCCTATCCCTGCAATCCTCCCCCCCCCCTCTTACTGGAGCACCTAGAACCAACATGCTGAACTATGAAAGCCAAGGCAAGCCAAGCCTGTGGGCATATAAAGAAGGTAAGCAGTGATAGTTAAAGAAGCTTTTCACATCTGAAATATGGTGCTAGACACTTGTATAGACCAACCAGCACTCAAATAGGGATGTGGTCATGGTCACCTTTACTTCCCACGACAATACCTGGTACCCATTTCAGGCTGGGTTAGCCTGGAAGATATGACCAACTTGACAATTGTTATTTTCATGCTGATTTTAATCCTGGACTTTTGTGGCAGCAGGCGAACATCTAGCTGATATCCCGTCACTGCTTCCCAAGTTAGAATGGTGTTTGCTTCTAATACAAAATATCCCTTTTGGGAACAACATACAAAGTCGGGCCCACAAGGAAAGTGACTTCCCTTGCTGTTCATTCCTGGTCGTGTCTTAGGGCCTGTCCTATGTTAAGGGAGTGTCACGCTTAGTGAGTGTCCAGCAACATGAGGTATTTTACGCGTAACTGTCATAGGCTGCATGCAGTCATGGGACGTAGGCTGTGGAGTGGGGTAAAAAGGGGGTGGGTTAGGGCCAGTTCTACATATTTTGGGACTGTTAAAAGCATTTACATCGTGGAATATAGACCAAGGGATGGCAACACTGCGTTTAAATTAGTTGTGTTGCTGGACGGTGACTAACCGCAACATAAGACAGGCCCTAAGACACGACCAGGAATGAATGGCAAGGAAAGTCACTTTCCTTCTGGGCCCGAGTTCATAAGTTGTACTCCTTTTTCTTGACTATATGAGCGCTGTCCTGGGGAAAACTAAGCTATACTTAACATCATGAAAGAGAATGGTTTCTGTGACACCAACTTTACTTGGCAGCCAAAAAAAGAGTGTTGTGTGCATAAGTGAGCAATGGTGATATCACTGTACCAGCCAAAGTGACTGTAGTGAGCACATGCACCATGCAGTTGTGGCATTTTGTTCCCATGAGTCTACCTCAATACATGTATCCTTCATGTCAGGTTTGCACACATCTTTATACCGCAGTAGAGGTCAGCCTCGATATCTTCTACTTGTCTTTAATTCGCGATAAATGATGTCCTTAGGGACTCTGCCATCCTCCATTCTTCAGGTGTGACACAGCCATCTGAGCCTTCATAAACTGAGCATGTAAAAGACTGTAATATTACAGGCTCCCATTTTAAGTGGGGTGGGAGGGGGATAAAATGCAAAAAACTGTACCTCATAAACCAACAAACAAACAAAAATGAACTTCATAAAAGCTTGTAAAAAGGACTAAACCCACTGCCCCCTAGAAGACGCCCAAGAGGGGTTTGCTGAAACTTATGTGTCGGGCTGAAAGTCACATATACCACAATCTAGCTGTTAACCACAACATGCCTACCGCACTTTTAGGTGGAATGCAGGAGACAAAAGTTTAATAAAAAAAAATAATCAGCACTTGAGTGATGTAGTTGCATATGTATGCATACCACACCATCTGACCCATTAAGAAAGGGATTACTGGCCCAGTGTTTCACCCCTGCACGCAAAGTTGTATGGGACTAAAAAGGGACTTATAAAAACAGTCAAGTTTATCACAAGAACCTGTCTGTCGGTGTAAATCAGTGAACACAAGAAAAAGAAGACACCATCTGCCTTTTCTTCTGAGAAGATTACCTGGCAACCTGTCATGGAACAACCTGGCAAAGAAGAAGACCTATTTGACATTTTTTTTTTCAGTTACCTCCTTGAGGTGTTGGGAGGGACATTTGGGGTCTTCTATGTGTTTTTTCTAATGTGTTATAAAAGTTAATCTTCATTTCCTGAAGTCTGTTCTTGATGTCTTCATTCCATTTATTGTGTCATCTTCACTTGCTCTGTGTTCATTATATTTTTTTTAGCATGGTTCTCTGTGCTAGTTGGTACCAGGATATTCTCATCAGATGGAGAAAAAAAAAACCCATCTTACCTGTTGCTCTTTGATAAACAGACATGATGACTAATAGCACAAGGGATGGACTTTATGAAGATGTTTAGGCTGGGTCAACCAAGAAATCCTAGATATTTTTTAAAATCAGCCTGGACCGGGGGGCTGAGTGGTCTTGAGGTATGGTGTTCGCCTTGAGTGCTGGAAGTCCCGGGTTCAAGCCCCAGTGTATGCTGGGATTTTTCACGTGGATTTCCAGTAATTTCCCCTGGTCTCTAGATAGTAAGATCGGACGCCTGTGTGTATTCTTGTGCACGTAAAAAAAATCCCTTGGCAGTTGAAAATCAAAAAGAGCAGCCTAACGGCGCTGCCCGGGTAAAATGTGGAGTTGAAAATCTGTGCTAAGATTCTTCAGACTCGGGCTTGAGTTTGAAGTAGAAGGGAGCACTTATGGGTTATACCACGTGTGCCAAGATGTTGGTCTGTTGAATAAACATCAACATTACCATAAACCATTAAGATACTACCAGTTGTACAGCTCTCGTATTTCACTGTGCAGCCACGATACTCACCTCCTTTCTTCTTTTGCCTTCGCTAATTTCTCTTCCGTCCTCAAAACCTCATCACAGATGGCTCCATTCAGCTGTGTGCAAAAGAATAGAGAAAATGCTGGTCTTTAAATTATTGAATTTTCACACTTATTTCTCTTGCTATAACAATTTTTTGTTGCTGTATTGTACAATACAATTTGTATTGCTATATAATACCTTATTGCTAACAATACCAGATATGTGTGTAAGACAAAGACAATGAGAAGACAAGCTGAGAAACATTTACTTGCGGCAGATATGTGGTTTTTAAGAAGAATGCAAAGAATATCTGGAAGGATAGAAAAACAAACCAAGCAGTCCTCATGGAGACAGATGAAAGTCTTAGAACAATCAGACGTAGACAGTCAGTGTTTCCTGGACAAGTTACTGGAAGGAATAGATTTGAGAACATGGTAACAACTGGTAAGATTGATGGAAAAAGAGCAAGAGGAAGGCAAAGAGATAAATGTTGCTTCCATGTATTGCAATAATCGGCGGTTACTTGAGGTACAAAGAATACAAAATGGACGATGCATTTGGAATTCTTTATACAAATAGATAAATACCCGAAAGGTCCATATGGGTGAGGCACGACAGAAACATTGACCTGATATGTGATACTGATGATCGCCTGAGATAGCGGAACATGACAGCCTATGCTTACTGACATGGCAGATGATAATGACTAATGATAATACCTTGTAGTTTTTGATAATACATTTGTTACTACACTGCTACAGGAATGGATCTGTCTAAAATTACATTTGTTGCTACACTGCTACAGGAATGGATCTGTCTAGTATTACATTTGTTGCTACACTGCTACAGGAATGGATCTGTCTAATATTACATTTGTTGCTACACAGTTACAGGAATAAACCTGTCTATGATGAATCCTAAACGTAACCAGAAGAGACAAGATCAGAAATGAAGAAAGAAGCTGGAATTGACTCAGTACTTTAACTACATCAAGAGACAACAGATCAGATGGTTTGGACATTTGTCAAGACTACCACCAGAAAGTGCAGTACAGGGAGCCCTGTCAGTTAGACATAATGGAAACAGACCTAATGGAAGGTCGACTATGCAAACGATGGATAGATGGAATATGCCAAGCCGTAAATACCAGTATCTGTGCCATGGAAAAACCTAGTAGATCCTCCATTCGGACTTTGGCTTTGCGCCAGGACATGAGTTTTGAATGCAGATCTGTTTTGCTCTCTTATCTGTGTACAGTATGTTGTTCTGTGGGTTCCAGAGACCCAGTATGGGGGGGGGGGGGGGGGGGGGGGAGGGGGGGGGGGGCCTGCTCAAGAAACCCAACAGTCTGCATATAAATAATCACAGATGTGGACATAACACTTAGGCTCTAGAACAAGACTAAATTTCGGAGCTAGACCAACAACCAGACACTTTCCGCCAGAGTTTACAGCACACTAAAGTGAAGAAAAAAGATAAGTTCTTGGCCTCTCAGGCAGATGTACACTGACTTTGAAGAAGGCAGTTGCTCCTATCCCTAGGTTGACTAGCCATTGTTTCGTGGAACATGACCTAGCTAGCCCGGCTCTCTAGCGTAGTTGGCTAAACCGGATTGCGCGGTGAGCGGGTGACGAACTCCTTGTGGTCCGGGTTCACGCCCGGGGGTAGGCAGGAAAGCCACATTTTCTCCCAGATTTACGGTATTTACAATGGAATCAAGGCTGAAAGGTTGCGATATCCATAATACCGAGCCTAAGGGTTAACAACTCATGGCTTCTGGATACTAAAACAAACAAACAGCCTTGTGTGTGTGGGACATTAATTCTTTTCCCAATAATTAATCATGGCGTACTTACAAATATTGTATCTTTGATCACACGTTTGACTCTGCGAAGCTTCCTGGCATATGTGTCATGGTTGATCATGTATAATGCTCTCGACCGAACATGGGCCGGCAGTCCCAGTAAAGATGATGATGATCTGTTGTTTAATCACACAGAAGGCAAATATAATTTCATCCGTAAAATTAAGGATAAATGGAAAACCTCAAAATAGTAAATCAATTATCTTTATGCCTAGTGGCACATGAGGCTTCAGAGAGGACTTTCCATGCTTTCCTGTCCTGTGCAATCTTCAGTGCAGTTTTCTATGTCACAGATGCTGCATTCAGCTCACTCTCCATCGTTCGTCACCATGTTGTTCTTTGGGCGCCCCTTCTTTTTCTTTCCCTCTGCTGTCCATGTGAGAGCTGTTTTGGCAGGCATATCAGGATTCATTCTCATAACGTGGCCAAGCCATTTCCATCTTCTCCTGGTTATCATACTGTCTAGAGTTTCTTGGTTTGTGACTTGTGCTACTTCAAGTCCTAACCCGAGTAGATCAGTCACAGTTACGATGGTTTGGACATGTATGCAGAATGGGAGAAAATCGGCCACCATGGCAAGCATGGGAGGCTAAGAACCAGGGAACCAGACCTCCGGGACGACCCAGGGTGCGCTGGGAAGAAACTCAGACAGTCCCTAACTGACAGAGGACTGGAATGGAAAAAAGCCAGAAAGAAAACTGCTGATAGAGACGTCTGGCAATCTCTCTGGCAAACCTCTACACCCCAAGGTAGAAGAGGAGCGACTAAGTCAGTAAGCTACTTCAAGTCACAAAATAGTAAAGACAGAAATGAAATGTTTACCTATCATGCTAGGTGTAGCAATGAAAGACTGACTTAGGAACAACGATATCAGGGCAGATTCGGCAGAGAACCAATACTGAACTTTATCAGTGAACAGCAGATCAAATGGTCTGGCCATGTAACAAGACTGCCAACAGAAAGGGCGCCACAGACAGCAATGTTATACAAATACAGTGGTAACAGAGGCAGTGGTCGACCATGGGCAGCAGAAATATCTCAGATACTTAAAAGTACTATGTACAAAGTGAACAAAAGGGCCCATTTCAGAGATCTCTTTCTGCCCTGATGATGTGAGGCTATCCAGTAGTAGAAAAAATAAGAGAAGAAGACGGGAAATGTCAAAGAGCACAGGACTGATCCCTTCAGCTTATCCTCTACCAATACTATCATAGACAGTGTATTCATTGAGGAGGGAGGATTGGAAAAAGACAGAAAACAGAATGCCAACAACATAAATTACCAAACAGTGTCATTTCTGAGGCATCAAAATATCAACAGGCACACACACACACACACAAAAGCAGCTAACAATTTCGCTATTTGAACCAACTTTGTGCTATCAATGTCAGACATGCAAAGTCCTAGAAAAAAAAATTAACACAAAATAACAATAGTGAGATGCGATGAATAAGAAATGTGGTGGCTGAAACAAGGAGTCACCAATGAATAATAGAGAACAATGGTAAGCCGAGCACCGGTAACTGATCTCATAGAACATCAAAGACTCAAATGATTTGGTCATCTGGTCAGAATAGAACAAAATCAGCCAGCAGCTAGAGCATACAACGTGAGAACAGCATGCTACAAAGCAAGAGGCTGACCAAGAAAGACCTGGGTAGATGGAGTAGAACAGAAACTACAAAAACACAATATGACATTAGCATTATTCATCGCTGAAGAAGGCTCCATAGCCGCAACGTTGACATATTGTTTGTGTCTGTTATATTCTAAAGCTTGCTAATATACTTTTTTGTTCAGTTTTTTCTTTTCTTGACATTAACACAAGCTACACAGCTGATAAAAGAGGCTACATCTTATTCTTCCCTGTGATTTTTTAGGACATGAGCAGTCGGACAAAAGAAGAAGAAACAGAATAGAGTATAGGCCCCCAAACAACACATTAGTACCGACTGGGAGGATTTTGCAGTTTTTCTATGAGTTCCTTAGAGGGAGTGAACGTGCCGCTGGAACAGAGGAATGAAGAGCAGAAGGTCCTGTGCTTGGGCACTGCAAACGCACTTAGTAATTCTGAAACACCAGGTTTGATTCCAGTTGCGGGCAATTTGGCAGCAGACCACATTGTGTTGATTTTGACAATGGTATCAAGAGTCTATCCCCTAACTGTGTGTGGGTTCTGTAATAAAAAACAGGAAACATGTCGACCTCACTTCTTGGGGAAAGGAGGGGGAAGCCAAAGAATGGGGGGCACCAGAAACACTGCACACTAAAAACATATCAACTGTCTATAACAGTCAATTAATTAGGGGTGATTTCTTCTAAATCAAAGTTCATCTGCCTGACAGGCAAGGAACCAACAATCTGCTTACAAATAAGCCATATCTGTAAAATGGATGTGCACACAAAACTCAAGTTCTGGAACAAGACTTAGGTCCACAAGTAGGACAAACATCCAGAACTTTTTGGCGAAAGTTTACAGCCAGTGAACACAAAGAAGAAGAAAAAGAAGAAGAAGGAAAAGAAGGTGTTATATCTGAGGACAGATAAGCAAAACATAACAAAAGATGGAAGAAAAAAAAAACTCAGTGAAGTAAGTCATCATGCATGGAGGAGAAGTAGATCTTTAAGCAGGAAAAGTGATATTTTGGATTTTTTCTTTAGGCCATGCCGGCGCGGTGGGTAATGAACAGGCAGACAGACTGACTGGATCGGCACCATTGGGTGGTGAATTGATACATGAAAAGGCAGATTTGGTCAAGACCTTTTGGGAACAAGCAATGGAATCAGTAGAGATAGATTATTTTTTTGGCCTGGAGGGAATAAGGCTTCTGGGTGTAACCAGAGGGTCTGGCCGGCCCACTACACTCAGAGGAAAGGCAAGACAGACATTTCACCAGATTGGGATCGGTATCACCAGTATTGGAACTCTGCGCTGGCTGCTGAAGATGAGGACGGAGAATGCATGGGAATGCCCCGAGTGCTGTGATGTCAATTCTTGACTCAACTCCACTCAATGCAGGAAAAGTGATGAACTCTATCAGTCCCAAATGGTTCTAGCTAATGTCGAGGGAATTACTAATGGCAATACTAAACTTATGGGTATACTACTTCCAAAGGGCCAAAAAATGCAACCCTTGCAAAAACAAACATGTTGTCAGAGTTTGTCAGAGGTGCTCATTAAACATAAGATGTTAGTGATGATTGGTACATGCAAATAGTGCATTGTTTGGACAGAAAGAGTTAATAAAATACACTTACCCCTGAGCTGAAGGGTTGAACTTGTCCTTCATAAACTGATCCAGTAGTTTCTGTGTGGGCTTGACATCCAAGGTGGAAGATGATGATGTTTTGGCATTTGGTGACAGTGATTCCGCTGAAGCTGACTGACCTGACATTGGCAGCGTCGTTATTGACTTAAAACAAATAAACAGTATATTTACAGTACAATATAAAACATTTACTTACAGTGGAGATGCACCACTGGGTGGTGAATTGATATATGACAAGGCAGACATGGTCAGAGCCCTTTGGGAATAAGCAAAAGAATTAGTAGAGGAACAAGATTATTATGGCCTGGAGAGAATGAGGCACCTGGGTGTAAACAGAGGGTCTGGCCGGCTCACTACACTCAGAGGAAAGGCAACACGGACATATAACCAGATTGTGACCGGTACCATCAGTATTGGAACTCTGCGCTGGCTGCAGAAGATGAGGACAGAGCACACATGGGAATGCCCCGAATGCTGTGATGTAAATTCTTGACTCAACTCAACAACTCAACTCAACGATGCGGTTTTTGAGAATAATGCAGAGAATACCATGGAAGATGGAAAAACAAATAATGTGGTCCTTCTGGAGGCACAAGAAAGACAAATACTGACTAGAGAAATTTGCCTAGAGATTCAGTGTTTTTGAGACATGTTATGAGAAGGAATGGACTCAAGAATTTGGTCAGACTGGCAAAACTGATGGAAAGACAATAAGGAGAAGGCAAAGAGATAAATATCTAACATATTTATTAGTGACAAATAGTCATGATCCATTTTTTAGGGTTACTGGGGCAAAAGGGTTAATGAGATTTTACAGTAAAATAAACGTTAGATAACAGAAAGAACTGAGGAGTCCTTCCATTTTTGTAGGTTTACTGGGGCAAAAGGGTTAATAAAGTTTTACAGTAAGATAAAAATGTTAGATAACAGAAAGAACTGAGGAGTCCTTCTATTTTTTATAGGTTTACTGGGACAAAAGGGTTAATAAAGTTTTACAGTAAAATAAACGTTAGATAACAGAAAGAACTGAGGAGTCCTTCTATTTTTTGTAGGTTTACTGGGACAAAAGGGTTAATAAAGTTTTACAGTAAGATAAATGTTAGATAACAGAAAGAACTGAGGAGTCCTTCCATTTTGTAGGTTTACTGGGGCAAAAGGGTTAATAAAGTTTTACAGTAAGATAAAAATGTTAGATAACAGAAAGAACTGAGGAGTCCTTCTATTTTTTGTAGGTTTACTGGGGCAAAAGGGTTAATAAAGTTTTACAGTAAGATAAATGTTAGATAACAGAAAGAACTGAGGAGTCCTTCCATTTTGTAGGTTTACTGGGGCAAAAGGGTTAATAAAGTTTTACAGTAAGATAAATGTTAGATAACAGAAAGAACTGAGGAGTCCTTCCATTTTTGTAGGTTTACTGGGGCAAAAGGGTTAATAAAGTTTTACAGTAAGATACATGTTAGATAACAGAAAGAACTGAGGAGTCCTTCCATTTTGTAGGTTTACTGGGGCAAAAGGGTTAATAAAGTTTTACAGTAAGATAAATGTTAGATAACAGAAAGAACTGAGGAGTCCTTCTATTTTTTGTAGGTTTACTGGGGCAAAAGGGTTAATAAAGTTTTACAGTAAGATAAATGTTAGATAACAGAAAGAACTGAGGAGTCCTTCTATTTTTTGTAGGTTTACTGGGGCAAAAGGGTTAATAAAGTTTTACAGTAAGATAAATGTTAGATAACAGAAAGAACTGAGGAGTCCTTCCATTTTGTAGGTTTACTGGGGCAAAAGGGTTAATGAGATTTTACAGTAAAATAAACGTTAGATAACAGAAAGAACTGAGGAGTCCTTCCATTTTGTAGGTTTACTGGGGCAAAAGGGTTTATAAAGTTTTACAGTAAGATTAATGTTAGATAACAGAAAGAACTGAGGAGTCCTTCTATTTTTTGTAGGTTTACTGGGGCAAAAAGGTTAATGAGATTTTACAGTAAAATAAACGTTAGATAACAGAAAGAACTGAGGAGTCCTTCCATTTTGTAGGTTTACTGGGGCAAAAGGGTTAATAAAGTTTTACAGTAAGATAAAAATGTTAGATAACAGAAAGAACTGAGGAGTCCTTCTATTTTTTGTAGGTTTACTGGGACAAAAGAGTTAAGAAAGTTTTACAGTAAGATAAATGTTAGATAACAGAAAGAACTGAGGAGTCCTTCTATTTTTTGTAGGTTTACTGGGGCAAAAGGGTTAATAAAGTTTTACAGTAAGATAAATGTTAGATAACAGAAAGAACTGAAGATCCCTTATTGTCAATGTTTGCTTTAGATCATGTACCCAAATCGGTTTGAGAATCATGGTCACTGATGTCTGTTTGATACCTGACACAGAAGAATGTCAAGAGATGGCTGAGAAGGGATGCTGATTATCACATAAGTATCTGCTCATGTTTCTCAAATTCATTTTATTTTCGTTCTAGGAGATGCTGGTGTCGATGGAAATAAAAGAGCTGATAGATTGGCTGAATCTGCTATCGCTACCGACGGTCAGCCTATGAATAATGCTGATATTATTAATGCCCTCTGAGAAATGGGAAGGGAGAAGGACTTTGAAGGCAGTAAATCCACATCAATGATAGACTCTGGAGTTAAGATCAGCATAGCAAAAAACGATGCACATCAGAGGACTTGTTAATCAACATAGAACTGGTATTATTTGTCACCGGACGATGGGGTTCACACTGAGGGAAGGATCTGAGCACCTATGGACATGTCCGGAGTGCCAGGAGGACAACCCAACTAAATGATATCCAAGTTCTCAAATTCAGAACAAAAATGGATTTCTGTCATTGCAGGGTTTTTGCTTTCTGGAAAAAGAAAGGTGCCAGCACCCACCTGAAAGTGTATTTAAAAAGGTGGTGGTAACTCTGGCAATGTCTATTACAGTTAAAGGTTAGTTGCGTATCCTTACAGGACGTTGCAGAACCAACCCCAGCAGCCCCTAGCTGTTGTGTGGTTTTTCTAGGCAATTTACGTCCAGTAGTTTGCCACTGCTTTCTGGACGGTCGGCACCCTGATACCACTGTTGAAACCAAGGCAAGGTGAATTGCCTGCAGCTAAGATTGAACCCGGCACTACGAAGCCTGCGCATCGATTTAGCCACAAAGCCCGACATCTATTACAGTAGGCAGAAACAAATTATGCCAAAAGGATTGAGGGGGGGGGGTGTGTGTGTGTGTGTGTGTGTGTGCTGGTATTGCGAATCGTTAAGTACCATCAGAAATAAAACCCCGGTATCATTAGTTTGTTAGCTGGCACAGTTACAGTATTTGTGCACTGCTGCAAACTACACTGTAGGCCAGATGTACACTATGATAGCTATCCATCCTTATTTAGTAAGCAAACAAAGGACAATTTTTCTCCCAAGGAATGAGACACAGAATCTGGTACAAGTGCTTGCCTATATTTTATGAATCAGCTGACAATCGATTAAAATAGGAATGAACAGCACTGCTTCATTTTTTTTCAATGAAAAAGTGCTATTAATTCTTATTTTACCAAGAGGTGAAGAAAAGACGCTGGTGTTGGATAGGACATATGCTGAGAAAACCTGAGAACAATATAACTAGAATGTCTTTGTGCTGGAACCCCCAAAGGTATAGAAATAAAGGAAGACCCACCCTAACCAAAAAAAAAAAAAAAAAACGGAGAAGAGAGTTAGAGAATGAAGTTAAAAAGATGTTGAGGGCACAGGAAGAGCTGCATGCGTTAGGGAAGGATACAATGACATGGCGTTAGCTGGCTGAGGGCGTATGCTCCATTTGGGATTAGAAAGGCAAAAGAAAAAGAATTCTTTATTTCCCAAATCAACTTCCAATTCTTGGCTGGATTAATCTTAATTTGTGTGTGTGTGTTTGAGTACTTAGCTAATGTAGCGATATCCATTGGCACAGGAATGGAGCACTTTTAGAACCTCGGCTAATGACTAGTTAACTAGTTCTCGTTCAATAGTTGATTCTACTATGATTATTTTTTCTAATAAATCAATATTTGGCTCTCCTGTAAACTACGGCCGGTAGACAACAGTTGACGGCCGGTTAGTCTGAGTTCTGTCCCTTGGCTGCAGTGCAATTACGGACTGGAGAAGGCAAGAATCAGACCACAAAGTGAGGTCGACATGCCTAGCAGACCCCGCGCTGCGACTCAAATTAGCGACCGTGTTCAATTACCGCATTACGGAGTGGATTAGAGGGAACGATACAAGTGACAGAATTACTGTGTGTTGGTGATAGACAGCGTGCAGTGCCCTACTGTCATCATACAATGTGGGTTTGGGTTAGGGTTAGGTTTAGGTTGCTACTTTGAGTTTGCGCGACGACGAGATGCGCCGACACTACCCGTAACCCTAACCCAAACCGTAACATTATAGCAGGGTAGTGCACGCTGTCTATCGCCAACACACAGTAATTGTGTCAATTGTTTCGTTCCCTTTTTTCCACTTCGTAAGTGCACTGTAGCCAAGGGACAGAACTCCGACTAACCGGCCGTCTACTGTTGTCTACCGGCCATAGTTGACAGGAGAGCCCAATATTTTCTGCATAGGCAACTGTTAGGCCCTGGTGACCATGCAGCTGGGCCAGTGGTTTTGTAAACACCGTCTGCTATGTCAAGTCAAATGCATTGCGGGAGTCAGGAGTGGCAGTCCGCATACAAACTTTGATGCTCTATCATTCCGAGACTGGTTTCTCTTCGACGTCTCCTCTCTATAGCTTGCTCGTCTCTTTCAAAGTTGTGCGACAGTACTTCTTTCAGTTACTTTCACGCTTTCGCCGGCAGAAAGCTTTGGTTGTTCATCCACCTCTGGATATATAGTCTTGTCACAGAACCACCTGAGTGTTGTATGAATGCATGATTGCATGCACATCCGTTTTACATATCTGACTTGTTAGTTGTAGCTATTTTAGTCAAAATTTAAAAATTTGGTTTTTTACTTTTAAACCAAGACAGCTGAATAGAGGTTGAAAACCCGAGTCCAACGGTACCTAAATGAAGTCTGTATGTCAATTCTAAGTGGAGATATTCACATTTCAGTGACGGAAAGTTGCCCAAAAAATTTATAATGGAAAACACAGAAACAAGATGGCG